CAAATGGTTGAAGCCCTTCGACGACGGACGAATGACCACATCCCCGCGCTGCTGCTTAGCAAGGTACTGCTCCGCCTGCGCCGAATTGAAGTTATGGAAATGCGGGTGCTTGACCAGCCTCCTCGTCTTATCCTTGTCCGCCCTCTTCTTCCTCACCAAGATCTCCTGATCGCGTTCCGCCTGCGAATGATTCCAGTATTTTTCGTCCGCCTTGACGCGCCCGAACTGGCTGTCTCCAGCGGCGATGTCGCCCGGACGCGCGGAGAGCTCGACGAAGATGTGGTCCTGGCTGAGCTCAGGGCGAACTTGGATGATCACACCCGGCATCGTCTGGCCCTTCTTGACGATCGAGTCGACGTTCACAGGTGCCGCGGCGTTATCCGTCAAGTACACCGTATTGATGACGGCCTCTATCCCAGAGTCCATGCGCACGTTGATGAAGTTCGGCCTGATACGCTGGACGAGTACAGAGACGATGACACCGTTCTTGAGCGTCCGCGGCGTCTCACCCGTGAGCATCGTAATGACGTCCCGGTCCCCAGGCGGCTGCAATGGCGGGCGTGTCTCGCTGAATGGTGCGATCAGCTCCGAGCGAATGATACTGAGCATGTGTCGCTTGCGCTCGCCGCTCGACTCGGGCAAACTCAAGGCGAACTCGTCCAAGTTGAGCTCGTCGAGCTCCCTTGTGACCTCGCGTTCCTTCGAGAGTTCGGTCACCGGCTGCGAAGCGTGCTCGCCCTGGAAATCTTCCTCGTCCGTGTCGAGCGCATCGGTCGCCATCTTCCGCGCAAGGTCGTAGTCCTCCGGGTGGATACGCGTGTCGTCGAGCGGGTCTTGCGTGTCCATATCGTCATTGTTTCGATGCTTGGATGATCGCGAGCCGCCGTCTTGAGGGATGCAGAGGAAGGGGGCGGAGTTGAGGAAGATGCTGGTCGCCATGAGCCCTGCCTTGACGAACTGCTCGCGGTTCGATAACGTACCACCCTAACATAGCGTATCAGTATATAGTCGAGCAGCATTGTTAAAAAGAGACTATACTCACGAGCTGAGCAATCTTCTTAATCAGCGCATCCGCCTTCCTCGGTCCCAAGCCCGCCACGAACGGCAAAAGTCCCGCGTAGTACGAGTCCGTCACACAGCGGTTGATGTCCACTCCAACCTTGTTGACGACGCCCACGAGTACATGCTCAAGCGCGTACAGCAGCTTCTCCTTCGGAATGAGAGGCTGATGGTCCTCCTCGAAGGTGATGGCCGTGATATCGCTCGCCAGCGCCGCGTACTCGTTCAGCGGGCTCTGAACATATCGCGCGAGGCCGATCCAGTACTTCGCGATGGCCGATGCGCCCGTGAACTCTTCATCCGCGCGCTTCGAGTGCTGAAATATCCTCGCGACCTCGTCCTGGCCGTAGAACACCGGAATGGTGCTGAGATCCTCCTGTTCCTTGCTCGACGAGCCCTGACCTTCCGCTTGCTCGCTCGTCCCTTGTAACAGCTCCTTGACGCGCAATGAGAGCTTGAGCGTCGCGACAGAGAAACCACCAATGATGATACAGTCCGGTTTGCGGCGAATGAGCAAGTCCTTGAACTCTTCCCGGAAGTCCGTGTCGTTCAAGTTGTCGATCTTGGCGTGTTCGCGCAGACGGCCCATCTCGTCCGTGAAAACAATGGATATGGCGTCCTCCTGAGGGTCGCCCTTGCCCCAGGACATCGCGACGACGTTCGGGATTTGGCCGGGTTCGGGCGAAGGAATAGCCAGGGGCGCTACATCGACGCGCTGGGAAGATTACGTCAGTCGGGCGCCTCTTCAACCTAGTCGGGAAATGAACGTGCCTCGCGAAGAGCGCTTGCACAGCGCCATGCCATGTACATAGTCCTCGACGTCCTCCCTGAGCCACTCCCGTGCGTGCTTGGCACCAGCTGCTAACAGATGCTGGTCAAGAGCCTCGACCACCACACGACGCCGCTCATCGCTCCAAAAGTTGCTGGCATCCGTGAAAGAGTCTGCGACCATAGCGTCGCTGAGCTTCTTCTCGAACTCGCCCCTGACTTCGTCCGGAAGTGCGAACGTGACGATAACAAGGAGCTCTTTCTCAGCTGCCAAGATGTGCAGGAAGTCGGGCGACTCCAGCATCTCGATTACGGGCTTGCGGTAGAGGTACTCGAACGCCTGTCAAACCCGTCAGTAAGTGCTATAAATGAGAGTCAAATGAGGAGGCATACATAGTATGGGTGGTTGTCGATCTTGCTGACTCCGCGCTCAGTCGGCGCGATAGAGATTGTAGCGCGGTTCTTGAACACCTGGCGAATCTCATGGCGCAAAATAAGATCCTTGCCGAGCTCAGTCGCCATAATCATGCGAGCACGCTTGAAGAGATCCGCCGGGTTCTGCGCCTTAGCAGGGTCGGGGTCCACGAACTGGTCAGCGAGCGCCAGAGGCATGATGTCGGGGTCCGTGGGCCAGTTGACGCGCGAGGCCGAGATGCAGTTGATGGCGATCTCTTCTGCTTTGGCGCCGAAGCCCTGCATATCACAGTCAGCGTCTATTCGGACGTCTACATAATGGAGATGCGCTTATACCTTAGCAAGTTTAGCCACGATGCTCTGCTTGGCCACATCGTAATCCGACGTCCTGTTCGGGAGCTTGCGCTTCTCCTTCACAGGCGCGGCCTCCGCCATCAGCTCGTCGTCGTGGAACCTCAGTTCATTCACTGCCTTGCTTGCTTTGCCCTTGCTCGCCTTGTATTGCATCGGCAACCACTCCGTCACATCGGCAACCGTCTCGACCGAGTCCAGCTTCTCCTGAATGTCCGTTTCGAAGTACTCGTCGTTGACGCCCAACGCTTGAAACTTCGTCACAAGCGCCTGTCTCCGTTCCGTCAGACTCAGATACTTCTGACCGAGCATCTGAATGCGCCACAACTCCTCCTGATTTAGCAAGTTCACACTCTGCCGTGCGATCTCAGGCTTGATGGAGGTGATGCTGTCGCGCTTGTGTGTCCAGATGTAAGGGACCTCGTAAAGGCTCACGAAGATGAAGCGGAGGACGTCGGTGATGGCTGAGACGAGGTCGTCGAGGTAGGTGTGGTACTGTCCATCAGGACGGAAGAACTCGCGTTCTTTCCGATTGTTGAGGCGCATGAGGCACCACATTGCCGCGTCGTCGGGCATCTCTTCGCTCATGGGGTGTTGAACGGACAAAGAGGCGTCCTTGGACAGTGTAGAGGTGGCCAATTGCATGCGCTCCGGAACATCCTGGGCACGAATGATGTCGTCGTCTTCGGTGAGGCGAGCACGGATTTCGGAGGGTTCGAAGACCTGGAGTGAAAGGTGTATTGTCAGTATATGTTTCCATTGGAGGAGGCGTGGCGGTCGAAACATACATCTTGATAGTTCATCTCCTTGCCGGCTGCTGCTTCCTGATACTCGTCCTCTTCTTCACCCTCAAGAGCCCAGTTACAGTCGTGACCGTCTCCGAATACCTCGAGGATCTCGTCCCAGGCACTACGTGATGTGAGCTATAGTGCAATGAAGTGGATGAATTGTACTCGCGCAGGATCGATGCCAGACAGCTCTGGACGTGAACGCATAGCCTGGCGCCGCTCATTCTCCTGCCTGCGCTTCTCTCTCCTCAGCTGCTCCCTCTCCGCCTCGTCCATCCCACCCGCGCCCTCTTCCTCCTCGTCACAGTCAATAAAGTCGTCCTCATCCTCGTCTTCGGCCCAAATATCGTTGATACCGCCACGTGACGGGAGTTCGAGATCCTCGGCGTCGAGGTCGTCGTCGGAGAGTACAGCATTGCGACGCTTTGAAGATGAAGCTGCGGGTGGAGAGTCCGACTCGCGGCCGTGACGAAGACGCTTGAGCTTGCTGCGTTTGAATTGCTCGCCCGTGTTTTCCTCCATCAAATCCAGGTCGTCGTCCTCGAGTCCTCCCTCCGCATCTTCGTCTACAGATAGTTTAAGATTGTAGTAGATGTATTAAACGATAATACTCACCATGGTGCCGATGCCGATGCTTGCGATGCTCGCGCTTCTTCTTCTTGGGCCTGTCCTCCTCCTCCTCCTCTTCGTCCTCGTCCTCGTCGACGATGAATCCCTCCCTGACGCGCTTCTCCTCCTTCTTGTCCTCCTCGGCTTCCCCCGAGCTGTCATCAGACGCGCGGTCGCCCTCGCCGTCGTCCTCCTGCTCCTCCTCATCCCCACGCATCGGGTGGTCTTCCAGAACAGGCGCTGGCGGTGGTCGAGATGACATCGTGGTTCGCTGTCAACACACGCGAGGTGTCTGGTCCAAGTTCTAAGGACGCGTCGCGCGGTGGGACGGACGTGATAGCCTGCCAGATCCCCCGCACATTCCCAATTTCGGCCTAGACGCCTAGCTGGGAGGGCTCTCTCCCTACGTCTTGAGGCACGAGTCGGTAGAGGAAAGAGTTCAGATGATATTCAGAGACGGAAAAGACAGGAGAGACAGAAGACAGGAGAAGTGAAGAGACGAAAGAGAAAAGAGGAAGAAAGAGAAGAGATAGGATTCGTGGGTTATGTAGTTGGTGGTCGGAGCGAACGCGCGAGGCGCGACTACATACGAACGTAACCCTAACGTAGGGGTAGTCGCCGAATGGGCACGACAGCATAGTAAGTAATAGTAAGTACGTAGCTACTATGTACAGTAGACACCAATTACAATACCCACCCCATATCCCGTTAGCGACCCATCCTCTCAATCGGAAGAGGGGCGAGGAAAGCGTGCCTTCAAATCGAGCATCTCACCCCTTACATCGACCTCGATCTTCTTCAAGTCTCCGTTCGCCACAGCCTTCGTAACCTCCACGATCAGCCGCACTTAGTCCGTCAAGTTCGTGGCCATCAGGATCGCGTTGCCCGCTAGCACCTGTATCGCCACCATGTGTATCAATACAGTGGGGACATAGAGAGGAGGCAAGAGATTGGGGTGAGGGAGAGAGGGACGATACCTTCCACATGCCCTGGACGTCAGCGACGTACGCCTGACCGCCCAATATACCCTCTGTCCCGACCTCCGGCGATACGCATGACAATCCAACCTCTCGCCCTGCCCATCAACGTTCACCAGCCGCCCGAGATCGCCCATTGCGACGGCCTTCGTGACTTCGGAGATCGAGCGCACTGAGTGGGACAAGTTCGAGGCCATTTTCTGCATCATACATTAGCACCTAGTAACAGAAAGACAACGAGAGAGGGAGGATGAAGTAGTGGAGAAAGAAAGAAACGCACGTTGACATTACGCGTCAAATCGGCCCAGGTGCCCTGCACGTCCTCGACACGCGCCTGACCGCCGAGTATACCCTGCGTGCCGACTTCCAATGCCACACGGGTGACCCGCACGTTGACCAGTATGCTATTCTTTGAAATAGCAGTACATCCTCCAGAAATCGCGAAAGCGGAGGTATATGCAGAGATGGAGTCGTGCCTCGGAGGCGAAGGCGGACAACTGGTCCACCACGGAGTTCACTGTCGTCTTGAGCGTCGCCAGCTCGCCCTCGACCTACGCGTACACATAATTTAGTCAGCATGTGGACCGGGAAGGAGGGTGGGGTGAAGACGGACCTGGATATCGACCTTCTGCGTCAAGTCGCCGCGCGCGACGGCAGTCGGAACGCCCGCGATCGAGCGCACCTACCACGCACAATTACATCAGCATCTCCCTCAAACCTCAAGCGAATAAGACAGCGATCGTACTTGGTCGGTCAAGGACGAACATATCCTATTGACGTCCCTGGTCAACTGTAGTTCGCCCTCGACGTCCGTTACAACGACCTGCACACCATTAGCATCCCCCGCATTCCAACAACGCCGTAAAACAATACGCACTTGACCGCCCAAGATACCCTGCGAGCCGACTTCCAATATGACGCGCGTGACCCGGACCTGCACGTACGCGTCAGCACATAACATCCTATCGCCATAAACAGAGGGCGGGTCAGAGTTCGGGAGAAGAGCCGTGATGGGAAGGAGATTGCAGAGCACGACTCGCGTAGACGCGTCTCTGAGACTGGGCCGAATCTACACATTAAGCACATTGTATAGGCCTTCAATTGAAGCTGGCTTGTAATATAATAACGGAAGCAAGACAGGAGAGTGCGATGACATTATAGTCTACCACGATATCACAGCGCAAACTTCCCGAGAACATCTGAACCTACTTGTAAGGGTCATGACGGAAGAAACAGGCAATGATAATGATATTGAACAGCAGTGGATCACTAAATCGCACATGACTGGCATCCGCAATTTTGATCTCCTGCTTCATGGCCAGCGTCTGTTCGCTGAGAGCTGATCCGCAGCATCACGAGCCTCAACCTTCTAATGTCGTGTCGATGCCTATAGTAGTGCGTGCTGGGTGAATGCAGGTGAGCTTCGCAGCGCGGTCGACGAGCAATGCATGAAGCAGCTGAACACACCTATCAACGGAGCGATCTGGTCTGGGGGGCTTCACATACGCGTCAGCATCTACTCGGTGGTATGATATTTGAAGCTTACCTGAAGAGGCTCCGGCGTGTTCATTAACGGGCCCCGTGGTCGAGGAAGTCTCCGGCGGCGTCTCGCGTATAATCGCGATAATCCGCTGTCTAGTCGGGGAACTCGGAGAGCGAAGTGGCAAAGTCGGAGGGCCTGGTGCGAGGCTAAGAGCTCTCGACATTAGGACATAACCTAGACCACTTACCTCGAGCGCGCAGACGCTGAATGATCGCGGGGGCCGGATCCTCCTGGCTGCTCTCCACTGTTGTCAAATAGACCCGACGTTGTTCCAGTTCTTGTTGAGTCGGTGGATAAGCGCCCCAATGAGTTCGCCCATCCCATCGCGAGTTCATGTACAGAGGCGGAACTGGGCAATGGGTGAGTTTGTTGTTAGCTTTCGGAGATGCAAAGAGCGTACCCCGATCAGCCTCGGCATAGAACCCACAAGCCAGTCTATCGTCGCCTTCGCGTCGCAAGAGGTGGGTCGCTATATACCCAGGACAGCCGAAAACTGTATTGTCCCTACGCGACACAGCTAACCACGAGTGGCGGCAAAGCACGCTTCCATCGCGCGCACGACCACCCGTAATCGGGTACCAAGTGAATGTAGAGTGGGGCCTGCCTTCGGATGGATTCACCTTCGCCTCCAAGTATCGTCTGAAGCCGGTCGTCATCGATAGAAGCTATTGCAGGGTTCCTGTGATGAGGGGAAGGGACTGAGCGCTCAGTCTTATCTTAAAAGCAAGTGTCCTTACCTCAGCTGTCGTTACCCCCGCAGCTTCCATCACACCGTCCTCGGCATTATGCCGGTCTACCACGCCCTGGCGCTACCGTTGGTGGAGGTCAAGGCGAAGCCTTGTGAGTAACGGGTTTGCTGACTTGCGCACACGGTCGATCAAGAAGCACAGCCATCAGGGTGTATGGGGTGGTGAGGTATAGGCACTGGCCCAAAAATGAGCAGCCGGCGTAAGAGATGCATGACCGTTGAGCGCTAAGCCTGGAGAGAGTCGCTCATGGAGGCGTGGGCCAACTCAACGCTTCCTACGAGTCAAGGAAACCGCGCCGGCCCGCATTCACCGGATCTACATGAGCGCGCATGCGGAAACTCTCTAGCTTACTGCTTACCACCATGACAACGGTCTTGACGATCTTGTACCCCGTTCGCCAGAAAGTGGGGTTAGGCACCCACAAACCTATCAGAATAGGTAGCGGTGGAACACTACGCCCATATGTCCGGGCAGCTCCGATGCGCGCTGCGGTACGGTCTTCGAAAACGGATGTAGTCGAACCAGCCACAGTTTGCCTGAACATCTTGATCTTGGTTGTTGGGCGATGGAGTACAAGTCTTTTTGGCTGGCGCGATGTGGCAAGCATAGAATCTTGATGTTAGATCTGCTGCCTGCCTTGTGTCTGTCCGCTGGGAGATCCGGATTCTACATCGGCATACCACCATCATGTCTCGCATACCTGTTACTAACGGACCCTCCGCTTCACGCAACGCTTTCGGCTCCCTCGGTCGTGTGTGTCTCATACCGTCACTCGGACTTCATGACCAGGTATGGCTTGTCACTCACCGTGCAAACCACGTTACATTCTGACGAGCACGGCACTGAGCAGCCATAACACGTAATGCTCGTAGCCTCCGCTGGCAGTATCAAGCCATCAATCATGTTCGAAGCCAGCACACGAACACAGTGAGCACCTTAGCGCCGTGCATATGGCTACAACGGCCTCTCTAGCAGCAGAGATGGTATGTGTTCCCGCGCTCCTGAGTATCGACAGTGACCAGCCATTTGATGTAGCTTGTTACAGGGCCTTCATTCGCCACGCAAATACTGGCCGTACGCAAGCGTAGGACTCCGATGGGCATGGATTCCTTATCCCAAGGACGCAGTGGCATCTACGATGTCCGCACCGCACACTCTCCGGCCACTGCCCAGGCGTTTGTAAAATGCCCGAACCGCGTACATTTACAGCAGTAGGCGACGGCGAGCCTGCGGTTCGAAAATATCAGTGCTCTGCGCCTAGAGCTCAGCGGTGCGCAGCCTTACAACCCCAGTAGAGTGCTAAAGTGCACGCAGATATTGAAGTTTCCTCAGGAAGCACGGTTCGTACTCGCGCCACTGTTCTGAACGTGAAGGCGCCGGGTGATCAATAGCGAGTGACGCGTTGATGGATGGCGAGTTTGGTTCACGATCTGATAAGAGGATCAGTTCAGGTACGGTCACCGGACCGGATTGAGGTCATCGATATCCCTTTCATCCTTTGTTCTTACCCCCAGACATGGTATAAGTTCCTCAAGGAGGTCGCAAATCACGCAATCGACCCACCTCCCTACCCTCGCACATATGGACGCCCAGCCAAACGTGCCAGCCACCGCGGATGCGCTCTTCAACGCTCCAGATGCTGACCTCGTCCTTCGCTCTAGCGACAACGTCGAGTTTGCCGTGCAGCGCAGCATCGTCCGGTTGATCTCGACGGTCTTTGATGACACCCTGTCTCTTCCTCAAGGACCGGACGCCGATGCCACCTCCGTCCAGATGTTCGAGGACTCCAGTACCCTTCGCCTGCTTCTCCAGGCCTGCTACCCTCGATCGGTATGCAACGAGCCTGACTTGAAGAACATCTTGGACATCAAACGCGCGGCTGCACTCGCCCAGAAATACGACATCGCTTTTCTCCACGAGAAGGTCACGAAGGCATTGTGCGACTACTGCGACGTATCACCTGCGCTCGCGTACGCTGTCTCTTGGAGATTCTCCTACGATGGACCTCTGCGCGTTGCCGCGCGTCGCTCTCTCGATATTCGCGACTTCTTCAAGACCCTTGTGGACTCCGAAGACGCCATTGAGTTCGAGGAGATCACCTCTACCGCCTTCGTGCACCTTTATCGCTATCATTCTTCCGTCAAAGGGTGCCTCGAAGGCCTTCTACACCACTCCAAAGATCGCCCCATCACATGGATCCAGCCCGCACGCGTTGAAGGCCTACTCATGCACGCCGCGAATGGTGGCGAACCGATGTGCACGTGTATCACGACGCTGTGGTTTCGCGAAGAGGGAAACGAGAGGGCGCTCCAGTGGCAAGTATACGGCTGGTGGTGGAACTACGTATGCGCTGTCATCTCCGCCGTTCAGAGTGAGTATCGGGCTGGACTTGACATTGCTCTGGACGAACCTCTTCTCGAGTGGATGCGGGCTGCAGTTAGCTGCGATAGCTGCCATGGCGGCATAGTCGCTCCGCGTATCCTTCGCGAGACCCGCCATAGCCTTGAAACCGCCATAGAGGATTGCCTGCGCACAGTGAGTCCCGTGTCGTGACACACCCTGTATCTTCTGACGTGCGCTGCTTGCAGATTCCTCTACCCCTTGGCATGATCTCTTAGAGTGCAAACTATCGGAGTTGGTTTCTCAGTAAGTGCTCAGCTTTCGAATCGACGTGGTGCGCGATATGCTAAACGCGCCTCGACTTCAGTCACTCTTTCAACACAAGTTCCCGTGTGGTCGATCCACAGAAGACGTACTGGAGTCCGGGTAATAGAAGTGCTGGTTGCTCGTATGTAGTACTATCCCACAGCTTTGTGCATCGCCGCAATACATGGTCTGCTTTACATCCAAGGCGTCCCGGACCAAGATGCCAGAGCCAGCAATCATCGGTGTCTCGAGACGCATTTCTGTCCTTCATTTATGCTATATGGGTGCATACAGTGCGCGCTATACAGTGAAGAAGTTCTGGAGACTGTATAGACCTCTCCAAAACGCTGTGAAGAAATACGCGCGCCCCATCAAATCATGTGATCGCGTTCTTGTGCCTGTGAACTATGCGCTGGTCCCGCATCCGAAAACCTTCTGTAGCGTCACCTTCGAGTGTCTCTTCCGCACACCAGGACCACAATCTTGCCGTGCTGTCATTACCATGAGCTGTGATAGTTCCTATGACGTAAATACCTTAAAGGTGTCTCATACGTGGGCCCTTGGACGCCGCAGAACCCCGTTCAAGCGAGACTCCCAGGAATCTCTGACCGTCCTCGCATAGGGGCGTTCCGTGCGCCTTTGTTCTAGCTGCTCAGAGACGCACTGGGCTCCCGCTAGTAACCTCCGTCTGCCGATTGGCCAAACTGCAGTGGTTGAGAGCTGAGCTCCCCGACTCGCTCGGCGTACTCCGAGCTCCGTCACACCCACTCTCGACAACGAGAACCCGCATCTCGGACACTTAGCCCAATGGCTACAGTCGTGTCCTCCCATGTTCCCTGTCTTGCGTGGATACAAAATGGTGCTCTTTTGCCTCATCGATGTCTGTCCGGAGCGTCTCATGAAGCAATTTTACCCTCTGCTACTTCGTCCCTGCTTTACAACCACGTATAGTTAGTACCGGTAAGTCAACAAGATATCATACCCCGGGTACAGATCATATACTGGAGCGGCTGAACTCTCAAAAGGGTGACGTCTCGGACTAGACTGCTCCCCGGTCAATCACAGGATGTCTGAAGCTGGCAGCAGCTTCACCATCGCCCTGCGCGAGTAACGAAGAACGTCACAACCCTATCAGACCACTCACCCAACATCTCTGACGGCTCTTCCAAGCGTTGCTCGGCGCGCAGGATATTCCACTTACCCGATCTGTTCGTCTCTTGGTCACCCAGTCTTGGAAGGTCTGCTCACGAAAACCTCGGATCGCACGACTCACGCTCTACGACGAATACGCCGGAGCTGCAAGACACCTTTGACGTGCTCAGTGCGCCCACTACGGGCATGCTACCACATGGCAGGAGGGTCTGGTGCGTATCCAAGCCGGATGTCGAGCACAACATAGACCCCTATGGATACGATGTACGTGACCGTGGGTAGCAGCCATACGGTACATGGATGTGGACCTTGTACTGGTAGGTTGGTGTGAAGACCCGTCGTTCAAGGCATCGATCATTAGCGATGGCCGTCGCCTCCACTCCTTCGAGATATGTACAGGATAATGTCCGAGGTACGTCCACCTGGCAATACGTGGGCCCGTTACAGTGTCCAATTATTGCCCAGAAGCATGCAGCACTGCGTATCAAATACACGCGTACGAAAATATAAATACATTGCTGATACAAAGGAATACAATACGATGATCAAGCCTTGCGCGTTTTCCTCTTCCGTAGTCTCTTTCCACGTTTGACAGTAACCTTCTTCTTCGCGTCCAAGGCAGCGCGCACTCGTAACTCCCGATCACGAACGCGCATGCTGAGACTATCCTTCGCCTTGTTTGCACGAGCTGCATCACGGTGCAGAAGGAGGGAAGCAAGTGACTGGCTGAAGTCCGCGTCGGCTGGCTTCTCCCTCAGAACCTCGAGGCCAGATACGACGTCAGCGACGATTATGGCCCAGTCAGCAGCGTCAGGATCGACAGCACGCCACTGGAGCAGTGCCCGGACGACAACGGTCATCCCTCGTTCTCCATGCATGGCCGTCAAAACGTGCGCTGGCATCGCGCGAGCCATTTGCCACATCCTGGCCACTTCGTCACCAAAATGGGCTTCCAAACGACTGGCGGGGTCCACCACGACTGCCCTCTCTCGCCGACCTAACCACAATCTTACGCTAGGTATGTCGCATGGCATATGCTCAGGACCATCCTATATGTACATCAGTGCATAGACGCACCGAGAAAACTGGAGCAGACGTACCTGGAAGAGTGTCTTGGCTTCGAACTGCAGACTGGCGATCAGTAGTTGAAGTGCGGTCTCCCAGTCCTGTGCCGGCAACACGTCGGGGGTGACGAATTTGGCGAACAGACGTCCCCAAAGCCTAGCTTCGACTCCGCCGTCGAAGATGTCGTCTAGGGACAGCAGAGCGTCTTCCTAGATATACATGTAAACAGCGGTGCATCGTTTGCTCAACGCGTAAGACGCACCATGAAGAGTATATTCCCCGAGTATTAGGTTGCGTAGATTGAAAGGTGGAATGGACGAGTCTTGCAGCAAACGCGGTACGAGAAGACGCTGCGGTGATTTGGCAAATCGGCGCTTGAAGCGAGCTTTCATATGAGGTCTTTTGAAGGCGAACCGCTGCAGAGGGTTCGGCGACGTTGCTAAGCCATCGACTGTTTGCGTCAGTATCGAAGTCTCTCGGGCAAGCCGATGAGCACACTGAAGGGCAACGAGGCGTCGGCGACGGCCCGCAATCTCATCCGCAGACTAGGCGTCGGGCCTCATGCATCAATGCCAGCAGCTGCAGGTGCCACGTCGGGCCTCATGCATCAGTACAACAGTCAATCCGTCAGATAACCATCTCCCGCCGTTATACCGCCGGCATGTCTAGATGACCAGCGTAAGGGCACCGCGGCTGGGCAAGGCATCGCCGAGGGATCTGCCAACTGGCTGACCCTGGACACGAGGTAGAAATCCGATCACAGAACAGTCTGGATAGCGTAGATGTATAGGAGCCTCCAGCAACACGTATCCACGCAGTTCGGCCGGTACGTTCAGAGTTCCCGCCATCCGCTACGGGAAGCCAGACTAGTACACCCAACACGATTGTGCTTAGTAGGGTGTAGGATGTGTGGTCTTCCGTATACTCCCTGCGCCGCCGCCGAGGTGTTGGTCTGGTGCGTTGATAGGACGGAAGCGACGTGCCTATGCTCACCCCTACCCTTCCCGCTTCGCAACGTCAGAATGCTCGAGATACACCTTCAGGTCGCGAACATCCTCAAGATGGATTTGCGTCTCGATAATGTTCAAGTTGGTAGAGTGATGGGTAGGTTCAACAGGATCGTCGCACTATCGACAGCATGATAAGCCTTCTACGTAGCCCAGCTTCTCCTGTTTTCGAGTGCGGTGGGGGTCATCATGGTTGCTGGGGAAGTTGCGAGTAATATTAATTTCATTGGCGCCGCGGAAGGCGTGCGAGCGTGGGCGGCCGGCGCGCGCGAAGAGGCACGAGCGCGCAGAACGACTCGTTCGGTATCTGTGCCTTCGACCACGACGCAGGAACAAGTAGTGCTCTACCTGTTGTATGTCCCTTCACCTAGATTTCAACTTGTGCGCTACTCATGTAGCACAGGGCTTTAGCTCTGATTGCTTTTGCTTTCTTCGTTGGACCCGTTCGCCGAGAGAAGTCAACTGCCGCGTGCCCGCCTCCAAGATACAGGGACCGGCCTCGTCGCGACGAAATCTGGGATCAGTAGCTATCGGAGGCTGAGTCTGCTGCTAGTATCTGGCTCTGGAAAGAATCACGATTGTACGTTGTCAAAATCCTGCCATACATGCTGCATATTCACACGTCTCCCCTAGTGGCTATCCTCACATCTTCGCCTGGCGAACACCCCGTGTACTCAACACTCTTCTGCACCCTACTTTATCTATGTCTACATATCGACTTGCACCCCAGTACATTTGCTATACAATTGTTTTGATCCGAAGGACACATTCCTTTGTCTCGTCCTCCGAACTGCGGCAGGTGAACGCCCCTTCGTCTGTGCCGCTCAGAAGCATGCGGAGCCTGCGCCGACTCCTTCGAGATCCTTCGATCACGTTCCCGCTTGGACAAAGGAGCAATGTCACGGTGGCATGTTAAATCTCTTTCCCTGACCGCCCATTCCTGTTACTGTCCCCCATCAGCCGCGGACGCTCCTATACATCCCTCACCTCCGATTCACCCGTGGTTCTTCATCTTCACCATGGCCGTAAACCTGGTATGTCAGTACAGCGCCACAACGAAGGTGTCATGGCTGAGGAAAGGACAGGACGCTCACCGCATGGTGCAAAAGCAAGCCGCCTGGATCGCCCAGCTTCAAGAGGAGCTCGCCACCACAAGCACCTTCCTCAATATGCACGACTCGCAACCCGAGAAGGCTGTGATGAATATGGTTGACGGTATCAACTACGACTCGTTCCAAATCGCGTGCAACCTTGTCGACGACGCTACTCCCATGATTTCTCCTCGCGCCCCGGACCATCCTGACTGCACGATCTGTGCCACCTTCTCTTCTCGCTTCCCTGGTGTTATACCTCTCCTGCGCGATACCGATCCCCGCATGGACGAAGAAAGAGAGGCTCTTCGTGTCAACATCGTCCAGTCTACCCTACTTCGCGTCTGCCACGACTTCATGCAGCCTTGGCACGTATCGAGCGGAGATCAAGTTATCAACGACGGGAATGAAGAGCTCTTGAAGGCTGTAAGCGACTCGATATTCCAAACAGGTTCGTCTGGAGCCGTCAGACCTTCATTGGACGCTTAGTCTGACCTCACGGGCAGAGTCTCAGGTGGTGGCGGCCAACTGGAAAGCTATCACGTACCGCCATTTGTCGACCCTCAAACGGGCTTCGGAAACCATTGAACGCGAGCGAATGTACGAATGCCTGTGCTCGGCGTTGCTGCCTATATGGCATGTCTATGGCCTCATCGACGACCAAATCGCGCCTATCGTCTCGGAGACGGGCATGCGCGACATGTTCAAGTACTTGATCGCCGAGGTATACTCATTCCAGAAGGCGGCCGCGCAAGACATCGTCTCGGCTGAGCTGCAACCTGTCATGGTTCCAGGAGGCATCGTGGCCGACGAGCGAACCATGCAGATCATCACAGGATCGATGTCGACGGCGCCCGACTCTACGATCCTTTGTACAACCAGGATCGGACTGCGCCGCATCACGCGCGTCGCCGGAGACGCGAAGGTCACTCTCCTCATGCGCCCTGAGGTCTTCGTAACTCCCGCCTTGACGCCATCCCTCGTCGCTCGCCATGATTAATGACGTATGCGAATCCAAGCCTTGCAGACTCTATGAGTGTTGTAATTGTAGTCCTGCTTCACTGTAACATATATAAAGAAACGATTGCATAACCGCGGCAAATGAAGATATTTGATTGGATTGACAATTTGAGCTTGGAGATCGTGCAGCAATATGGGTCCAGCGTGGACGAACGCCCGCTTGGTCTACACTTCCCGATGTTGTACCGTATACGCTAGCTCATACGGATACTATATAAGGTAGTAACCCCTCGTTGTCAACGACAAGTGTACACATGTCCCAGCCAACACTTCTGGGATTCGTGTGAGCCTCCACGGGATGTTGTCAATGTACCCTAAGCACGCCGATCTTCGAACTTTGGGCTAGACGGCGAATATCGGATAGCTACAGACGACGGATGAAGAGTCAGGACCACCGTACGGCGTCATGATAGGACCCTCACCCGTTATGGAAAGACAATGACTCTTGCCAGTTGTGGGCGTCTAACGAGGCCAACGTGCGCCGATGGTGGTAAGAAGCACGCTCAGTGAAGCCCTTCCTCCTCAAACTCCCAGGGAATCACTGGTTGAGCGCTCACCGTTGTCTTTTGCCATTATGTCCTGATACCTAGTCAATCTGAAAAGGACGTACGGCGTCTTATACGAGTCACGACTCGGCATTTCCAGTCGCGCAATGCCAGCATACTAACTACTCGTTGGACTCGCATTCCGCGCCTGAGCCGCCGCCACACCAATCTGCGGGTCTGTAGCTTGTTGTGTCACGACCTCCATCGACCTTTTGCTCACCTTTGCTGTACTGCTCTAGTGCGCGGATGACTGAGTCGACGTAGCCGTGTCCGGTAGCCCTCTTAGCCACCACCACACTCTCGCAGATATGCTCCCGGAATACCGCAAGGACTCGATCCTGGTTTTGGCCCTTTAGCTAGGGAGGGGCCATCAGCCTTGTGGACAGGGTGTTGGGGTCTCCCATTGTACTGAAAGTACTTGCTGGACCTCTGGCGGGGACCAACATCATTGACCGACACGCGCCTGATCGATCCCGCTTTCTGCGCCGGCTATTTCCGTTGGAACGCGATATGCTAGAATCCGAGTTGGCGGTGGCTCATCATCGTCGACAATCTGTCCATCCAACATGACACAGAGATTGCCATGGATCAATGCTATCAGCCAGGAAATGAAGAGCTCTGCCGTGGGCGACATCTTCAAGGTGTGTTCCGCTCTCCATGCGAGTATCTGGGCTATAGATTCAGGAGTCATCCAGATTCTTCTCGACCTCGCACACCCCCGCCTGGGAGTTCCCATGCCCAGATACGCGCTCAGGCGATATCTGAGCACTGGAGAGCCACCTCGTGACCAGGAGCACGCTGAACCGCTGTCGCAGCTACGGGCCCATCTCCCGGTTCAGTTCAGGTTGGCCGGCACTGACCGCGTCAGTGTCTTGGAGAGCCATGTCTATGGAATACTTGAGGTACGCTTCCCGACTCTCATTTCCTGCCTTCCTTGCTGACGTATCTTGTTAGAGCATCTTTGACGCGCTTCTTGTTGTACAGAACCCCAGCTTTCTCTACGCACGGTTAATGGACATCGACATCGTTCCTACATCAGACGACTACGCAGACTTCGTAACCACATATCATCATGTGCTTCGTTGGAGTATATGGAGGCTCTATGCATGGACGGTCGTAGGATTGCCTCCCCCCTCGATTTGCTTGATCAACAACTTACCGGCGGAGATACTGGGGAAAGTCTTTGGGTTTGTCTCCCAGCCTTCGGAGAACCAACGCCCCACCTTCCTCAAAGTCACGTATGTGGACCAATCGCGAGACGTGTCAAGCCATCTTCCGCTTCGCTTGGTCTGCAAGCACTGGAGCATCCTAATCGATGATACACCAACACTCTGGTCCCGTATGGTGAAAGGGTTCGGAGACTTCTGGACGGAGCGTGCATTGCGAGCCTCCAAGGATACCGACCTTTTTGTCGCAGTCACCCAGGACGACTTCCTATACGGCCATCTGATAGACAACGCCCAGCGATTGTTGGGTCACGCGTCACGCTTCAGCACGCTCTCTCTCAGCGGCCTCACCTGGGACGCGATCGCCCAGATCACCTTGGCGCTGGGAATGGTCCCTTTGGACAGACTTGTGTCTCTGACCGTCGAAGCGCATGGACCCAACGCGCGCATTCCGACCCATATGTTCACGAGAACGAGCCATTCTCGTCTCACCACCCTAAAGGTCATGAACTGTCGAATACAAGACCCACGTCTCGCTCTGCGCCATTCGCTTACTCGATTGACTCTCATCTGGTGCGATGTATGGATGTCTATTGACGACATGTTTGCGACTTTGCTGCGCTGTCCTGGACTAGTGCGCTTCGAATGGTGTATGTCGCAGAACAGTCGGGCTTGGATCAGCGGCGGAACACATGAACTTGACAGCGCTCAATTCCTCTCCTCAACGAGAGCGCGACGTCTCTCGACCGTCGCTCTTCCGCACCTCCAGTACATCGCCTTGGAATGCCATGCGGCGGTATTCAACGCGATCCTGAGTGGCATCACTCTCCCTTCACAATATCACGTCCGTCTCCTCGACGATTACGACCTCATCGGAGAAAGGCGCCACGATCTCGAAGTTATGGATTCCATACTCCAGGGGTTGGACTCATCCCTCGGCGCTCATTACTCCACGTCCCGTTCGCCAGGCGCGATTACAGCCTTCCGAACCATCGCCATCAATGAAGTCACAGGCTCCGGCCCGAGCGATCGCAACGCCTTTACAGTACACGGGTCGACCAAGCAGTCGCTCCCACATAGCCAGTTCGCTCAGCAGGACTTCATGGAGGGTGCTTCGACATTCACAATTACCTTCCTCATCCCCTCCGCCATGCTTGTCAACGACCACGAAAGACTCCTGAGCATTCACGAGGACGTTGTCACTCGCTTCGTCGCGCACATATTGGCCTGGCCTTCTATGCGCACCAACGTACAGAAGCTGGTCACGGGTCACGCAATCCATGCAAGCCCGCCCGTGTGGTCGTCAACTCTCGCACTTGTTCCGCAGCTCGTGGAGCTTTATCTCGAATACACCCCGAGTCAGCAAAACTCATCTATCGTGTACGGGTTTGCTAGCGCCCTCTCTTTGCAACATCGACTCATCCCCAACCTGCGCAAGCTTTCTCTGGGACCTCTGGCCGGTCTTGATTCCTTTGATCGGGATGCACTGATTCATGCAATCCATGATCGTCATAAGGCGTACGACTATCCCGAGATAGCAGTCAATCTGGTGAACGTCGACGAATGGCTGGACGAGGACGAGGTTGACGAGTTCAAGTCGATGGTAGCGGCTACGGGAGCTGGATGGGTGGAAGTAGTAGACTAGGGACTATGCAATGTCTACTTGATTCACGATCAATTTGTACTTCGACGACTTATGTGTAATCTGGAGGTCTTACATTTTGCGCTTTCCTGAATGTCATTCGCATGGAAGTACGATCGTGGCCGAGATCCTGTTTCTTATCCTTGAAACGGTGGCGCACATCGTAGCTGAGCTGGTGTGTATTCATGTCCCGCTCATGACTGAGGGACAACATTACTGGGAAGGTTGGAACCTTGGTATCAGGAGGATTGGTGTTGCGTGTAACATAAGGATGGGCCGCAAGGAAAACGCGGAACAAGCTACTCATCGTTGGTGTTGAGCGTCTATCGGCGCTTGTCCAAGCAGACTCGAGTTCCATATTCTTTCGAAGTTGGACAGACTCACCGTCTTCTTGAAGTCGACGCTTAGTTTCGTTCACAACGCCACAGTAATATACATATACGGGCCGTACACTCAATAGATAAACATGGCTATATGTTCAAATCTCAATAGCACGCGCGACGATCCTCCACATCGCTGCCCAATGACAAGGACCATGTGGACAGCGACGCGCATTGACACTCTCCTTGACCAAAATCTGACCTAGAATCAGAAGTGGTTCGTGACTGCTAGCCGAATGACAACTTACAGTTCACATACCGGCCAGGGGTCGACCATGTACGCGGATGCGATACAGGCAAGTGAAGTCGTCCCGGCCCCAGTTATCGTGTATGAGGAGCATAACGGTCCCGAAAGCGACGCCGAGTTCGGCAACGTCGTCGTCCACGCGAAACGTCTGGATGGCAGATGTGGCTTCGGGGTCATACTCGAAAGTGGAAATTGGGACCCAGCGTGCGCTTCTGAGCAGTCGTTGGACATCGTCCGGATAGTCGTCAAGTTCCAGAGCAAAATGCTTCCGCAACCCCAGCAACCGACCACGCTCCTGCCAGGCAATGGCGCGTTGTACGTTCTCCATCCCCTCCACCAGACCCCACAGACTCATGTGGCGAGGCGCTGAAGTCTGATCGGACGAGAGAGCAGCCGGGGCGTGCTCGATGGTGACTTCCTCAACATAGACCCTTTGAGATAGCTCGATGCCTAAACGGCCTTGTCTCCCGCTGAACTGCCAGCAGTATCCGGCATGAGTCTCATGGTGCAGAGCCATAGCAGCACCGGATGGCCACAACTCCGGACGGTGCTCTCGTGAAGTTGGGCGACGGGTTGCGGAGGTGGCCGATGGGTATACCCTCGCGCCCGCCGAGTACAAGGCGAAGTCAGGTTTTGCGACGTTGTCGAGGTTGAAGAGATGGATGGCTCGTTCATGTCGTTCCAATACTTCGAGTATCTGGTCGATGCGGGTGTAGGTACCATCCGTCTGCGAGAGCGCAGGTGAGACTGCTGAATGTAGTCCGAAAGGACTGAGGACAAGGACGGATGCGGGTGGGCGACCTCGGAGTGAGATGCTCACGGCGCTGCGAGTGACGGATGACCATATGATGACCGACGCCATCAGGACGGTAACGATGCTCAGGCGCGGCCTCGGGATCCAAGTATGCCAACGAGACATGAAGAAACCCATGGCACCGCCAGCAGAGGCCCGTACGACGATGTTCAGAGAGTCCTGCCAGACGGTGTAGACGAGCTGCCCAAGGTTCGATAGAAGCCAACCGCAGAGTTCAACGATCCCCGTATCTAGACCTTGGTCAGGCTGAGGCAGGATCCGAGTGGACTAGACACACACCCATGTTACGCTTATTGCACAGCCCGAATGTATCCCAAGATTCAGCAGTATAAAGAAATTCGGTCAGTTCGAGGCGCCTTCATCGCCGTAGAGATCTGAAGATATACTCTCATCATTCCTCCACGTGTTGCCAAGTCGCGCCTCCGCCGCTCGCCGCCGCTTCTCCTTTAGAAAGCCATGACGGCTGTATACCACTCTTTGGAGGCGCTTCCGCGATAGCTCATGTACTCCGACACAGCCTCGCATGAGTCTGCGAGATAGCCATATCTATGCTTACGGCCTCTACCTCTGTTCTCGGCTTCTTGTCGTAACATACCCTCATGCTCGGCCTCGGGATTGCCTCGACGGCTGCTGCTCTGTCATGCCCTATACTTAATACCCTGGCTCCCCACCTCGCTCGCGCTAGCTAGTAATTTGCCTCGTGCGACATGATGTGCGTTGCTTGCTGCGCTTCCTGTTGCTCTACGGGTGGACACGAAACTGACGCGCTTGCTTGTATGCACAGCCTCACACCACTCTCTCCTCAAGACGACGGCTTGTTACAGGAACTAGTCCGCGCGCTTCAACGCCCCCAATCTCACTTTCCGGAGCTCACTAAAGATACACGTTGCGACTCAATCACTATTCTCGGACCCAAGCCCGCATGCTACGGCGAAGAACTTAATATGCCGCTAATGTGCGTGCTAACCCTATTTCTCCGTCGAAGCCATGCTGACCATCATCGCATCCTGGCTCAGCCAAAGACCCGCAGGTGATACGAGAGCAGTGCAGTATAGAGGGGCGGCATACCTCCCCCGCAAGTACGCTGGGGTACTCGTGGCGAGGGAGGCTGATCTCGCTCGCCTTTCTGCGGGAGGACTCCTCAACGATGTTGTAGTGAATCTGGTCTTGAGGTATGATTCCTACGCGCAACGCAGACGCTTTGCTGACCGTCGTCATTAGGATGTGGTGGAGCGATCTGGGCGCCAAGAAGGCAGCGCGATTGCACATATTCTCTTCTCATTTCCTACCTCGGTTTCGCAAAGCAGGGTACGCTCAATGCTCCTAATACGTGTATGGATGAACTCAGCAAAATGCTCAGGTTCAGTGCGATCGCCAATTGGTTCCCGCAGAATTTATTTGACAAGCCGTACCTCATTTTCCCTGTTCACGAAGGGTGCGTCTCTATTCCAGTCTGTGATTATAACGCGCTGAAATCGAGCCAGCGGACACTGGTATCTGGCCGTCGCATGCATATATCCTTTTGTCAAGATCTTCACGATGGACAGCTTTTCCCGCGATGGTGCAGCTGTTCCCCATCAAGAGACCGCCATCCGCATCCTGAATTTCCTTCGGCTAGCTTGGGACGCCTCGGTCAATGGCAAGTATGCACAAAGCGTCGAGCTTTTGAACAAGCGGGGCAACACGTCGGTGTCGTATCAAGCAGTCAAGGTACGTCGTTCTCAGCGGTGGCGCAACATGATACGCGTCGTTTACGACACGATAGGTTCCACTTCAACCTAACGATACAGATTGCGGTATCTACCTCCTCCATTTTGCGAGGATATTTGCGGAGGATCCCGAGATATGCTTAAGAGAATGTGTGCGTACGCTTTGCTTATGCCAGTAACTGTCATACTGATCTTGTTCTGACAGATGCACTCTACGACAACTTATGCGCCATTATGGGAACGAAGAAATGTTGTGGACTTGAGAGTTGAGCTGGCTACGCGCATCAGCGAGCTGCGGGAGAGCTTGTAGTGCTCGATGATGGAGCTGGCGACACGTGGTCGGCGCAGTCTTTTCGCCGCACGTCCGAGCCATCGGTGGACGTGGACCTTTACCGCCGTCCGCATCGCACCCATGTACTTATCTACTTACACATTCCCAAAGCTTATCGCCAGCAATCACCTTGATTTTGTTCCCCTCCGTAGTGTCTCATGAGTGCCCCGCGTCGCACATCGGCCACACAGCCGCTTCCGGAGCCGGAGATGAGCAGTGTTTCCAGTGGTATCACTCTACCACGATACAATGTTCCACGCCCCCAGTCGCCCTCAAGACCGCCTCCTGCAGTCTCCTCGAGGCATGTGGAGACCACAGGTCCCTTGTCGGCGCCGCCATCACCTCACGGTACGCTGAATGAGGCTGCTCAGGCGATCTCTCGCACGCCATGGTATTGATGCATGTCACTCTTATCGCAGACGATGAAGACTCTCCGTCTTGGACCCCTCGCTACGCCAGCTACGGGAAACTTTCCCAATTTGTGCCCATGACACCAGATCCCGTGGGCTCACCGAGGCCGCAGGTGATTCGGTTCATCTGCGGTATCCGTTATAACCCAATTGAAAGAGCGATCAGGTAACCAACACCGACTCCCAGTCCCTGGCTCGTATGGAGCTTGCATTGGGCGACGCGAACTCAAAGATTGATGTCCTTCGAGACGAGGTTAAGACATTGGAAAGTGAGTGAGCGTTGCATGGTTTTATCGCGATTCACTTACCGAGTTTCGTTCAGAGGATCTAGTTGGTCGGCAAGACCGTTTAGAAAAAGCGGAAGAGTCTGCGCGAGTCGCTGAGGAGGCTGTTCGAGAGGCACGGGCTGAGCGGGACAAGCTTCACGGGCGTGTCCGGGAGCTAAATAGTGAGCTATATGCATACATTCTAGAGCGTCGCGAACGACACACGACTGACTACGTCGTAGAGCAAATCGAACAAGATCGCCGAAGCTATAAGGAAAAAGAAGGCGAAGTGAAGGACCTCACAGCGACGTTGGAAAGTAAAGAGGGTGTCCTAAAGCTAGCCGTGTCCGAGCGTGATGCATTGAGAATATCTAGAACCGAACTATTAGCAGCTAATGCTCACCTTGAACCGGCGAAACGGGAGATAGAGACGTTGAAGGAGGACCTGGAGCAAGCTCGGCAGGATCTCGAAAAGGCTAGAGCGGACGCTGAGCAAGCCCTCGAACGTGTACGGGCCCTCGAGTCCGCATGTATCGACGCAGAGGGTGATGCACAGCCCTCCGAGACTATGGCTCAAGAGATGGTACGCTAGTGGGATTACGCTCTCTTGTGATCTCTAGCACGCTCACTGTGTCGAATAGGGTATCTTTGGCACCGGCATCACCGATTTCCCCGGCGCATCCGCCAGCTGGGAAGGTCATAACCTCCAGGAGTTTGATACCGAGGATGACTGGAATTCAGGTAGTATTTTCACCACGCACTATTTTCCAACTCATCTGACACAGTTTTCATATCCTAGTCCCGACACCCTCCTCTCCACTGACGCTTGAACCCCATTCAGGTCAGAATCGTTTCCATCTTGTCACTTGAAGGCTACGATATACTTACAAGGCCGATAGGAATCCGCGAGGAAGTTGATTCTACGGTACAACCAGTAGACACGCAAGCAGACGTGGCGGGTCTACAAGCCCTCGTAAAGCATCTTGAAGGCGAGCTTGACCGGATGACATTATCGTCGGATCGCCATATGCGACTGGGCGAGCTTCACGAGAAGATCAGCGATATGAGGCGCACCATGCTGGAGCGGGCTCGTGGGCTGTTGGATGAATTTCGCAAGATTCGACCGCCTAGGTGAGTTAGCTTCTTACCCCGTGCAGCTGGTGCTATTCTCGTCACCTGGCGCTTGCTGATGGTGAACCTCAGTAGACAACAACAGGTGGACGCAAGGCCCGATAGCACACAGAATCTCGAGTCTCCTGCTATTGCTTCAAGCGAGTCGCCGATCAGCACAACGGCCACTGAGCGATCTCATAACACGCGTGAGTCTTCGTACTCGGTCTCTATCCCGGCTCGCACTCAAATAAGTCCTAGGTGGCGTCCAGACGCAACCAGACGTCGTAATGGCGATAGGCGAAGGTGGAGACACGGTTACAAGCGGTCTCTTCATGGCGCATACAAAGCCAGTCGGAAAAGTGAGCTATCCCAGCTTCATCTGAGCTGCACGAGCATAAGACTGAACCTCCGCGAAGGTGCCTCTTGGCGACAGAGACATGCACGGTCCGCCCTCCAAACGGCATACTGTGGCCCCAGTGAATGCAGCTAAGCCAGTACGCATCGAAAGCATATGGTCGTCTGCTCTATCGGGGTTCTGTTGGGCTCTCGTAGCCCTTCTAGCGTTGATACTTCGGAGCCAGGCGAAGAATGGAGCTTATGCGTGGGCTGTGGCCGTAATATCCGAGGAGTTGTAGCCTTGCCTTCGAGATCGGGAGGTTATACCATCCTAGCGCTTCGGAGCATTGTCGTGATGTACCAAGATGTCGCCTGCCTAGCTGCCTTGGTGTACTCCACATGCACAACGTGTTTCAGACGTACACCGTGCAATACCCGGAGACTCGGAGACCGCCGACCGGTGAGCTGCACTGTCGTGTAGAGCAGTCAAGCGCCTAATTGGTCCCGATCCGGCTCGTGTCCATAGATACGTCATCGAGCACTGGAGAGGCTGGTCACAACTCTGCAGGTGTAGTAGCCAGTGTAGTGTGCTTTTCGGCGCTGAGCGCGTAGACGCGTCGCGCGTCAAGACGCATCGCCGGCACTTGCCGAGCGTGGCCGCGTCTCGCTCGTCCTCACCGTTTGGCCCCGTATTCGTTACCCACCTCACGTACGGCTGCCTAAATATTGTAGGCTGACCGTACACAGGCTTTGGCGGCTGGGTGTGCGATATCGAAGCTATCCGACCGCACGTTCGCTATACACGTCGCGCCTAGCGCGATCTTTGCTCCCGGGTTTGACCCTAGTCTCTACCGGTGACAGTATTCGAACAAGCGAACTGTCTGTTCTCATCTTTGTATCTTCTGTCTGGTCAGCGTGCTACTTATACTACTTCTACATATATGCCTTTTCCCTTCTTCCCCTTCGTCCTATAGCTTTCAACATACTAGAGCTCGCCCTCTTCCCCTACGGCGCCGTCATTCTTTATGCTCCTCGGGTTGATGTGTCCAGCGCTCCGCGGCGTTCACGAAGGCCTCCACGGTATAAGATCTGCAGGGTGTCCTGATCACCCCCTCGCGGCACATCGGGCACAGCGGGCCAGCTTTGCGGTACAGTTCCGAGAGACAGCTCTGGCAAAAGGTATGCCCACAATCTGCAAGCCTTGAGGTATGCGGGCGATACGTCAGCAGAGGCCCTCTCATTATTGCGTTGCGGCGTACGTGTATGCAGATTTCATCGGCATGAAACAGACTTGACAGGACAATAGTTCGTCGAGGCATCTCCCCTACAAGGCGAGCGTCAGTTGTGGCCGAAATGGGGTACAAACAGAGTGAGCGCACTAGTTCTCTCGCTTCCATGCGCAACGCGTTGATAGTTGCTATGACTTCATCTCGCTCCTGTCGAAGAAGTGAGCGTCCCGCGAACGGGCCCTCTCAAGCGATCTTGCGAGCGCACCTGTTTCAAGGACGCCTTTTCCCGTTCGACCGCCTCCTTCTTCTCTTCCAACTGCTTGTTGACGGCGCGGAGTCTCGCAATCTCAAACTATGATCATCGTCAGCCATGAATAGCTCTTTACGCGACATAAGGTGGACGTACGATAGCCACGACCAGTTGCTGTTGATCTCGAGTTTCTGTCCGTTCCGAAGTATCGGATGTCGCAGGTGCAGGAACCGGATGCGGCGTGGCTACGCGCTTCTCGACTGATGGCTTCGTGGATGTCGATGCCTTCCGGGCGGCTTTGGTGCGGCGAGTTGAAGTTGAAGACCGGGCGTCTCCGGACGGCTCTACAACAACGATATCATCGTCGTCAGGAACGTTGAGGACACTGTCCTCTTCATCAGAAAGATTGGACAAGTCGATGACATCCATCAGGGTAGAGAAAGAGAAAGTTAGCGAGTGGGCACGGCGGATGTTCATTGACAGTAGCGACTCACACCCTTTATTTGCCAGAGAGGCCCGTATCGTTCTTTGTGGATCGCAATGGGTGCCATCGTTCTTTGTGGATCGCAATGGGTGCCATCGTTGCTCTGGGCACCCTTGTGGCTTGACTGGTGCTGACGTATCGTGGCCCGTGATGCCTTCCACAGAGCTGAGGACTTAGCAATTCTCACGATTAGCATACGAGAAGCCCTCGGGACATTATTATTTGGGCCTTGTCGACATCTTCAATGCACGATGATGCTACAAGAGCACGATAGATTGAAGAGATAAAAGTGGTGCTGTATACGATACATGGATACCTTATATGCAGTAGGTGCGACGCGGGGCGAAGCCCGGTGCCAAGGGAGGAAAAAGGGAGGGGCACGAAAATGGATGTGAAGGGAGTACGAGGGGAGTTGTACACGATAGCGCGGCACGACTAGATATCCAAAATGTGAGAGCAGATGTGTGGGACTGGTGAGAGAAGATGGGTGAGTGCGTGGATGGTTCTGCCGTGGGGTTGTGAGTCGCCGGATAGCCGCGAGCGAGGGCAGAGCGCAAGGGATGTCCGATATCCGCGCAAATTGAGATGGCGGAGGCCGCGAAGATGTAGAGGAATAGTATCAAGTCCTACAAAATGATTAGCACGAATGTCAAGGAACGACAGAAAAAGTATGAGTGGAAGATTGGGGAGCGAAAGCGGCGATATAAGTTGCCGGACTACGCACCTCGCTTGCCCTAACCGGTGGTCCCGAGTGCGCGTAATCGTAAAGTCGAACGATCAACCGAGGGCGACATGCTGTAGAGCATCACCTCCCAGACCCCAGGGGTCCTACAAATACGTGAGGATTATAAGCAGACGAACGGGTCTAGAAAATCGTACCTGTATCGCACCCGGAAATCGCACCCGGAAATCCGGTCTTGAATACCTGTTCGCCATGCTGCAGACCAATCCCATGTTGTCAGGGAGCCGAAGTAGATCTGTGGCAATTGTATAGATCGTGCAGTCGCGCAGCGCCCGCGCCGTGGATGATGGTGGTGGTGGGTTAGGACAAAGAAGGACACGAACCGGCCTTGGTGCGCCCATGGAAATTGCGTACGCGATCCTTCCGGTGCGCCCGCGATCCTTCCCACCCTCGCATCCTCTGCATCAGCCAGAGTCATTCGACGTCTCGGTATCCGTCAGCGCAGAGCAGTCCATCCGGTCCGTGGGGGCAGCATGGCCGGCAACGCGAACCGCCATGCCGAACTTCGTCCCGCCATCGCGGCCGCCCGCCGCATACCCCGATTTACACGAAGTCTGTGTCAATGTGATACTGATTTCTCTATACCTGTTTGGATTTGGATGCTACGCCCCGGTGCCCGGTGGTGGTGCAATGCACTGCTTGGTGGGCACGCGGCCAGGCCTAGGCCCTGCGCATCTGAGTGCGGGTGAGATAGTCTCGTCCTGCGTGCGCGACTATCTGCGTTGTGACTCGTATTTTATATTCGTGAGCATGTTGAGTGATAGAGTGTATCTCAACAGTAGTTTGTAGCAGCATACATAATCAAACAGTCACATTCAACCGGATCTATAACATGGCGAGGTAGAATAATATTGGACCTGGTATGTACATCAGCGTTGATAGTCCTCTCATCAATGAGTATCCGGCTTACCGACGTAGATCGCCCGTGTAAAACACTGACTACAGCCTCCACCTAGCAACTACGATGCCGGAGGCTCGTTCATGGCGTCGGCCTTGCGTTTGCCAGCCGCATGTTTGCCGGGCGCAGGCTGCGGTGACGCGGTGACACCAGGATCGGGAGCCTGCGGATGAGCGGACGAGCGGGGAGCGGAGGGCCCAGCAGCGGGTTGAGAGGGGCCGTATGTCCGATGAGGCTGGACTGGATGACGGTCCTGCCAGGCCTTCAGCACTCGAAGGTAATACCTATATTTGGCTTCGTCAGTAGGTGACAGCAACGGATAATGAATGCGTACGGCCGAAATCCTGGTGGAATAACGAAGTCCTTGGGATGTGGTTGTACCACGGTGTCAACGTACGCCTGGCCCTTCATTGCGAGCCACACGGGATTGTACGCGTTGCGCGGAAGGTGCGGAGGAGCGGGCGCGTCCCAATCGATGTTCTCGCCCTCGTAGAACTCGCGTGCTTCAGGCATTTGACCCCTTTTATCTTGCGAAAGCATCCCGTCCCTGCTGTACAGCATGTCATATAATTCCTCCACATCCGTCAATATGGGCCTGACAGCCGGGTGGCGCCATCCTAGAATCTTGACCACACGTTTCTTGACGGTTTTATTGTTGCGCGTCTTCACATAACGGTCTTCGTCGTCCGAAGCACCGAGTAAGCCTAACTGCTGGACGAACGTCTGAACGACCTTCTTGGGATCGACGTCTTCCGGGATTCCATCTGCCCCCGATAGGCGGCGCTTGAAGTTCTATCGTGATGGGTTAAGTAGGTACAAGTAGGTACAAACGTATAACGCACGCGTCGCCTACGGCCATCGTGTAACCCTACGTCTTTGAGCTGCCTGTCAACTTCTTCCACTGGAATGTTATGATCGTCGGCCAGATCTTCTGCTTCCTCGTTCAACGTGCGCTCTCGTTTGAGATTCTTGATCCTTAGCAAAAACATATCTCGAATTTCATCTTTGTCGTAGTTCTTGTGCTCCGGCTTGGAAAAGAAGTCTTCGAGGAACAGCTTTGCCATGACCTGATTGTACCCGGAGGTTATCGGACCGGCGCCAGAGTAATCGTAGTCGATATCAATGGGAGCCCCTTGCAACGGTCGAGGGATGGGCGCCGTCTGAACGGCTGCGGCGAGCGAACGAATGTGGCGGCCTTTGGCGTCGCGTGTCATTCTGTCGACGCTCAAATGAACATCGCGGACAAGTTCAGGGTCTGTCGCCTCGCCGAACTTGTCCATGCCTTGCCTGTCAAAGATAGCCGCAAGATGTAGACGTACAACTTTCTATTGGAGTGTTAGACCCGACAAGTTCGAATAGATATTCTGCCGAACTTACCAAGAGCGCAGTGCGTTCCGCATCCATCTTTTGGGGCGCGTTGGTCAGTCTGGCGTGTTCACTGAACATCTTGTCCTCGCTCGCTTCGTCCGCTTTCTTCTTCGCTTCAGGCTTAGGGGCAGGTGCGCGACCTCCACGACCTCGGCCGCCACGAGTACGGGTCACCACACTTTCCAGGTGGTCAATGCGTTGGTCGATGCGCTTCTCAACGCTATCAACACGCGCCGATACACCGGAGACCTCCTTGGTCGTATGCGCCTTGATATCGTAGGACATGGAATTGAGTCCGAGTAAGTATGCGTCGTTTCCGCCCGTAGGCATTGACGCGCTTGCGTTCGGTTGCGATGGTCTCTGGTGCGAGGGTATCGCAGTTGCCGATGGAGAAGGTGGGCCAGGATGCTGCTGAGCAGTCTGAGCCGGCTGAGACTGAGCAGACGCTGTGGTCTGAGGCTGCGCAGACGAAGCGGGCTGAGGCTGCGCAGACGGCGTAGATTGGGGTTGGGCCGACGGCATAGATTGAGGTTGCGCAGACGTGGTGGGCTGAGGTTGCGCAGACGAGGAGGACTGATCATATAAGGGTGGCTGAGGATATGATGGTTGTTGCGAGGGAGGCTGTAGGGAAGCGTGAGTCCTAGTCTCACCCATACTCGGCAATTCACATACTTGAACTTGTTCTGGCTGGTCCTCCTCCATTGGAACAGACGGCTGGAGGTAACTGAGTGACCGAAGACAGAGATGGAAGAGGTTGCGTACCGGCGGCACATCAAGTTCCCCGTCATCCACCTCCATCGACTGATCGGCTGCAAACGGTGCAGAGTCAACCCCGCCCGCGCGAGAAGCGCCTGCACGTGGGGCCTGTGCTTCACGCGCACGAGGGTCTTCAGTGTCAGACGAAGCTGCAGAATTCGCGCCCGCTAAAAGCTGAAAATGGACCTGCTCCTCTTCGGTATCGCTCATGCGAGGCTTAGCAGACTTCGTGAGCCCCGGTAGACGTATATTTGGGAAGAAGACATACTTCAGACGCTTGGCGAGTTGAAAATGCCTGAGGCCTACCACCCGTGGGGTTGAGAGGTGTGGGGCTTAGTTGAGGTGTCTCGCGTCTTGACCCGAAGGCTTGTTGTCGGCGCGGCCGGGGAGTCGTACCAGGATTAGGAACCGGTAAAGCACTGACCGACGATTGTGGAGTAGACGGCCGTGTACTAGAAGCTTGAGAGAGGCGCGCGGCGACTTCGCGGATGACGCTAGACTGTCTACTGCGGCTTGCGCTCGAGGAGGCATCGATGGGACGAATCCGAGATCCATTGCGGAGGGACCGCTCGCTCTATCGACAGTATTTGGAGCCCATGTGTATGCATCGGTGCATGGAGCAACTCACGCGTTGGACAGAAGGAGCATGGTAAGCTGGGCTCGGACTAGGTGGCGGTATTCCATGCGCGGACGATGGATGTCTTCCCGAGCTGGTGGGAGGTTGAGAGGCTCTGGCACTTGCTTGCGAGTGCAGTGCAGAAGGATGCTGAGTGCGCATAAGTCTGGGCTGGTATCATAAGATCTACAGAAAGCCTCACGGAGGGATGCGATGCCTGCGAGCTGCCTTCGATGTTGTGCAACCAGCTCCTGATCTAGACACACATATTGAGCGCTTCTTCGGATAAAGATACACGATCCATACATTTTGGTTCCTTTGACTCGTCCTCTCGTCTATGTCGTCCTGCCTCTCGCGCCGGTCAAGGAGCGAGTCCATCTCCGTAAGCATCTCCGCGACACTGATGACTCGGCCACTGGGTAGCTCCACGATAGCATTATCGTCGTTGACTGCTGACGGGGCCGGCATCGAAGCTCGAGCGGGATTGTCTGACGGCACTTGACTTGAGGTGTGATTGGATTGCTCGTCGGGTCGTCGAGACCGCTAGAAAAGAATCAGCAACTCGGCAGGCAACTAATTGAGACGAACGTACTTCCTGACTTTGTCCACCGACCTCCAGACGCGCGGAGTCGTTTCTACGTGCGCGCTTGCGATCCGGGGACCCTCTGGCGCCGGCTTGTTCTAAGCAACCTCACTGTTAGAAGCAGATCAGGGATCATATCGAGAGGCGGTATCATACCGACAGGAGCGTCTGTCTGATTGCTGGGTGCAGGGGCTTCTACCTCAATCTTCAGCGATCTTTGGGCCTGTACTGATGCAAGATGAAGCGGGTGTGTGGGGTGTGGAGGTGCTGAGGACATGAGTTGGGAGTCGGAAAGAGGATGGTGCCTGTCAGCACGCCGGGCATTCACGTGGACGAAGGATCGGACAATGGGACTTTGACGGTCCATGTATATGCCAGTAAGTCCGCCATATTCGATGCCGCGGCCGGTTTCGAGGATCTATACATGTTCGTTACAGGTACAAAGGAGTCACTAGGGGATAGGCCTTGACCCAGTTGACAGCCGCCCGCGGGTGAACAAACAGGTGGTATATCCTGATGATATACCCAGATACGCACTATCTTTCTCCGCGCTAGTGTCCACGAGTGATCTGAATTGCTCAAATAGATGCGTCCATCGTGCTGTCGGAAGGGGCTCAAGTACGCAGAGAGCCTCGGCCAGTGCTTGAGAGAAGCCCTCGACATGCGACCGTACGTCTATATTGCTGTGGGTCAGTCATCGCGAAGTCGCGCTCCGAAAGCGCAAGTGTCTGGCATAGTAGAGTCGTTTAGCTTGTTCAACTATCATCGAGGTTGTGGTCAAAGACGAGCACAACCGGCTCGGACACGAGCCTGCGAATGTTGTCGGACCCACGCGGATCAGCAAAAGCGCGGCGCATGAGCATCTTAGGGTTTGTCTTAGAGCCTTAACACAGTAGTTGGTCACGTCTAATACAGGTATACACGGCGAGTCAGAGCATCTAAGTCGGGATACAGTACGTAGGGTGTCCATGCGACAATGGCCTATCGTCCGTTGGGATGCCAAGGTCGTTAGTAGATGATGGCGCGAGGGATCAGAATGTCCGGAGGGCATGACAAGAAGAGCGCGGCCTGGCGATGTACCTGGGCAGAGGAGACGTCAGATTGTGATAGGGAGATAGTGACAGCGACCCGCGCACCAATGTAGAGAAGACAAGATAGGACACTGCCTATCACGATTGATCGACGGCAGTTACGACTCCTAGCGCGCGTTCGTTGTAGGCTCAGCGCCTACTGTGCTGTTTCATCTTCCTCAGAGATCTCGACCTGTCCCCATCCCTCCTTGACGCCTAGAGACAGAGCAGCGACGTCGACACTGCTACAGTCTCGAATGACGAGCCTTACAAACCGTCCGCCCAAGCGATGCCATTGGCGAAGGGAGTCGATAAGGAGCATTAACCTATCCGAGCCAAGATGGGCCATGGGCCCAAGTTCAAGCACTCTCAAAGAGCTCAATGCATTGGGTTGATTGAGAAGCGCGAGTGCGAGTCCAATGACCATGGCTGAAGTGTCGGGCACTCCATCATCCTGCAGGTGGATGTGCGACAGGTGCTGCAGGGTGGCAAACGGCGCCGACCACGAGTCCTGACGAGAGAAGTACGCGTGACTGGTGGAGAAGCGTTGGGTTGCGAGCGCTACGGCTGGCCAAGACATGATGTGGTGCAAAGTATCGCAAAAGATACTTGGGTAGACGATGGACGGCGACTCTCTACCGAGATCCTGCGCGCTGGGAATCGCTAGTTCTATCACGCATCGGAAAACATCGTCCTCTGTTCCATCCAGCGAAGCTGTATGAGGCGGCGCGGTCGCTAGCTGAATAGTGAAAGCTCCCTGGCACTCCGACGCCCCCGCAGCATGGCGAACATCTACATCAGAGATGCAGATTCCTTCTGCGCTCGCCCGATCGATGTGCGCGCCAATTGACATATCAAGGTAGTTCGTCATATCGACGAGAGCTTGCTGGTCGCGGCCTTCCCTTCCCGTCAACGAGTAGTCGTCCATGATAACTACTGCACAACGCGCGGGGATCGCCAAGCGCGGTATGATACTACCAGCGCACATCAGAGGGCAACACAGCTTGATTGTCTTCATGGACGGGAGCGAGACGGGCACGACATGGGTCCTTGACGTGCGAAACTCGGCTTGTGGCACATGAATCGACGATGGCAACCTGAGTAAGGCGCCTCGAGACATATCCCAGGTGAGGATCTCTAAAAGAGGGAGGAGCACCAGGGTGTCAAGCATGGCGTCCAGAGTACGCCACAAAGCACAGCGACGGAGAGTAAGGCTCCTCAGGGATGCTCGTAGAAGAGGGCACGTAGGTTCTAGGTTACAATCCGAAATGGCGAGCGCCCGCAGACGTAAGGGCGGAGAGCCCTGGAAGATGTGGTCGGGTATCAAATAGCCATGGAGCATGGTCTCCGTCGGCGTGATCTCGAGCGATGCGAGTCGAGGTACCGGTGCAACTTGAATCGAAGCGTTGATAAGTATCATCTGCATCCAGGAGCCGACAGATATTCTCAAAGATGTGATACGAGGTGTGTATCTCAACAGAAGACGTGTTGATTCGCGGAGGCGGCGACCACCTTCGATGAATTGACCGTGGCCGAGAACGAGGGAGAGGTCGGCGTCCCGAGAGAGGGTCAAGGCACGCGTCGTCCAGTCGTCGCCGAAGCCTTGAACCATCCCGACCCAGAGCGAAGGCATATCTTGGATGATGCGGTACCACCTCTTACAGACTACGCGCATCGCAAGATGGCTGGAGGAGTTCCCTTGCCACTGTGAGTAGTGTATCTTGTGGGAATGCTGCGCGTGCTCGAACACGACGCATAGCAGTTCAACCGGAACACTCGCGATCGCGCAGGTATCGGTAGGCAAGATTGCCAGCGTGACACGGTTGTGAAGCCGCCAGAGATGCCAGCGCAATGTGCCATGCGGATCCGTAGCGGTGCCCTGCCTTCTGCAGGCTACTAGGTGTAGAATGGCGATGGGGTCGCTGACGGCGTAGAGTGCTTGGAAGACGTCCTGGGCCGTAAGAATGAGATGGTAATAGAAATCAGCTATCCAGACGAACTTACTTCAAGGATGTCCAGCGTGTATGGATCGAATGAAACAGGCGGTACGCGAAGAGGCGGAGGGTGGATCTCGGTACCGGGGAGTCGTGATAAGAGTTCGGAGACCCAAGAGGTAAGCGAAAAGCCACCAGAGTAGCGAGTGGATGCGTGGCTATTTGGGGCTTCAACTGGCTCTAGCCTGAGCAAGATGGGATGTGCGGCAACGAAATTCTGCTCGCCGAGCTCGGGAGAGGAGAGTACCTCCGACGTCGAGGGAACATCAGCGCGGAGTGCCATCAGCCGTTCTGTTGCTCGAGAAAGCGTAGACTCATGGGCAAGCATGTATTCGATGGCCTGTTGTACTGTGTTAGTGAGGTACTTGGAGGATCTGCTGATCGGATATACACATACTCTGAACATCAGCGCCATCCGGGGATGCTGCCAATCGCGCTCGAGAGCGGTAATCAACGGGGCGCGCAACTCATCGTACGAAAGCGCAGCTTCCGCAGCCCCGATCCTGTCCATGAGAACGTAGGAAACAGGGAGTGACAGTGGGATGCAACTTCCTTTGAACACACCCTCGACGGTGCTAAGGACCATCGGATCATTCGCGCCATGCAATGCGCGGTCTCGGAGCGGAGAGCATGATGAACGATGGTTATACATCAATAGCCACTTGCCTAATTGGCTACCCTGCCTCGACGAGTACGAACATCTGATACGGACCATGAACTGAATATCAAGTAGCAGCAAACCGTCCGAGGATTGAATCAATATTCCTCGCACCCGGGCGGCTGAAACCGAGAATACCACCGAACCACTGTGCGACGCGATCACATGATGAACGCGTCCGGGCAGAGCGCTAGCCGATGATAGTAGGGTTATCGAGACACAGGTGACTTGGACGCAGTCTGCCGAGTCTTCTATCTCAACCCTTCGAGTGTTCTTTGACTGGTACAGGTGGCAATTCATAAATCATTCGGACTGCACGAAGTACAGGTCCATAAATACAGTCAAACGAATCCGACAAACACGAATCAGGGGCAGTACAGCAATAGATGAGACTAGTGAAACTGACGAGTCCTCAAAGAACAACGGCGTCGGTTAGAGTAAGAACCTGACCTTGCGCTTCGTCAGTCAATCTCGGCGTGTAAGCATCGTGCGCAACTCGTTGACTGCGAGCAACAACGGCTTGAACGGCTTGATTCCACGTAGGGTATGCGGGAAGCATAGATCACTGTCGAACTCGGGGGTCGGTGACCAGATCAGGAAGGAGAACCACGAAGTACTCCGCGACTTCAAGCCCAGCTTCAGCAGACGCATCTGCTCCGCCAAATTGAGGACATTTTCGTAGGTGGCAAGAGCGTAGTCCATTGTCCTCCGCTGCGACGCTCGTACGGAAATGAGTGTGCGACGCCGGTTGGTCTTCATGGTCGTGGGGGTGCGATATGGTGCGACGGAGTCCCATAAAGATGAAAGGGCGTCAGACTGTCCGTCAGGAAGAGACGTCGAGCGCGATAGACCCAGCGAGTTGACGCGGTTTTGTAGGTGGGACGAGTGACCGTATAGGCGCTGGACGGCATCTCTGAGGCTGATCGAATCATATTGGGTTGCATCAAGCGCATGGAGAAGGGCGTCTTCCAGGTTTAACATGTCCAGGTAGATGACTTCAAAACTGGCGCCTTGACAAGCACTCCAGCAGAAGAAGGACAACCATCGGGGTGTACGTCCGGACAGATCTAGATGGTGGTAGGTGGCCGCATTATGTGCAATCGTGCTGAAGGAGCAATGTATTAGCACGACTGCCATGCACGATGACTCAACACGAAACGCACATATGCACTAGCGCTGTTATGCTAGCGTCCATTCGTACGAGCTTCTGTAACACAACGGCCATCTCGTCGCCGTACTCCTTCAGGACGTTGTTGAGCGCAGCAGCGGACTGTCCCTCGTGATAGTGCTCTTGCACGTAGTTGCGCAGCTCGGAGATTCCAAGCCGACCTGAGTTCAACTCCGTGAAGCGGCTAGCACCATGGGCGGTGCTGTTGAGAAGAGCACCGATGCGTGATATTTGAAGATCCGCAAGCGCGTCCGTGTGCGCCCGCCATAGACAGGGGGAAGTTGACGTCGAGTAAGACCAGTTAACCCAAACTGTGACGACCGCCAGACATAGCACCATGAAGGCGATACGCCGAGGGGTATGAGATATGCGGGCCTCGGAATCCGAACCTTCCACGCTGCCGTCTCTGTCCTCTCGCGCAACGAAGAAGTCGCGTAACCACGTGTATAGTTTGTGCGCCAGTTGAGCAAACTCGATGTTGAAGTTAACGCGCAATCCTTGGATCGAGATACTGACGACACAACCTTGTCAGACGACAGCGACTAGAGTATATACGCTGTGGAACATACCTGATCGATGAACTCGTTTGAGCATGCGTAGTGCCAGATGCAGTACCCGAACGAGCTGCTGTTCCTTCGTCGCTAACGTCCGCACGCGATGGTGAAGCAACGGGGTGGCTAGGATTAGGGTCCGTAGAGGTCTTGGCAGCGTTTTCCTGTGTGACAGTTGCCGTGCTCTTCGAGGAATCGGACCCTGCTTCGACATCTTTAGAGGGCGTCGAGGCGTCTCCACCTAGCAGACTCGTGGGGGAGGCGGTACCCCCCGGCATAGTAGGTGTGTCGGCCATGGACAAGTGTGGAGCTGAAGGAAGGGGCGGCATGATGTAGATTGAGGATGCCTATCTATGCACGCAAAAGCGAGGTCAATAACTGTGAGCATGGCCGAAAGCGATACTGGGCCTAGGTCAGCACGTACGGCAATCCGGCCAGATCTACCACAAATCGCCGCCGACGGATTCGCGACATGATACTCGGCCAGGGTCTGACGCGAGGCTGCAGTTCGGCCACGTTCCTTGATATCGTCCGTCGTGCTCCCCGAAGATACCCTATAGCACACGAGAACAGCAGTGCGTCGCAGCCATGCACATCGTACGCGTATGATGGTGGTTGTTGTGACGGGTGCTTCTGCGCGGATATCCAGTGGACAGCACGAAAGCCGGGGTTCGAGCCCGGCGATGACCGGAAGACCATACATCATATCATAGCACCTTAGGCCTTACGGGAGAGGAGAACCCACTAATGATAAATGGCCATCTGTACGTTGGTCTAATCGTAAGAGAGAAAGCTCTGACTGGTTAGCCGACAGGAACAGACCAGCGTTGAAGCGACTGGGACTCTGCGACAAGTTCACTGCGTCGCTTGATTACAATTCAGGCCTCTAGGCGTATTACGGGTACTCGTATCTCAGTCACACTCGTGTCTTCTTCAAATAACACACATCGTACATACTTCTGAATCACGAAATAGGGCAAACTTTAGCGTAAACAGTGCGTGGGTGACTGAGCGTCAACCCTCGGAACCTGATACCCCAGATACCTTCTTGAGGCGGCGAAAGCTGACCTCAGTCTCGTGCGGTCGCTGCAGGAAGCGGGATCTATAGGGATGTGAGTGACTGAATGAGCGCTGTAGTCGAGGGTGGACTCACTAAGGTCAGATACTCCTCGATTGTGCGGCGCAGTGCCACCCGAGTGGCAGTGAGAACGCGAATCGAGATCGAGCCACCCTCGCATACGTCGCACTGCATCGCCGTCTTCATGCAAGGAAGCAGAGGGTCGTTCAAAGCAGCTTCTATGTCGCCCGGCCGATTGTCACGTTGCATAGAGCTGACCACCGCGAACAAGTACTCCCACCACCAAGAGTAGACCCGATATTCCATCGGGGCGTCCAAGCCTTTCAGTTTGAACCACGCAGTGACCAAAGCACATGCGCACTTCGGATCTCTTGATGCCGGGCTGTAGAGAAGCTCGGCTCCGACATCGGACGGGCGTATCCACATAATCGGCCATTCGCGAGCCATGAGATTCAAAAGCGGCTGGAGTTGCTTCTCGACAGCGTTGTGGTAGCGATACAGATGAAGGAAGCAGGTGGCGGGAACCTCGGTGAATTCGGGAGCGTCCATGATCTTCGTGATGTGCAGCTTGAAGAAGTATGGAATGTCGAGCGTGCGGCGCGCAGATATGCGCAAAGCGTCGTGGTAGCCAAAGCGCCACGCAAGGGCGAAGACGAGGGCAGGCGAAGCATCGTCGCAGCGAAGCAAAGCCTGCTCCGCTCTCTTATGCATATAGACGATGTCATATTTGTGCGCAAGAGTGGCGGCGCGCTTGACGTCTGCGAGAGAGACAAGCTGAGGCTCGTCATGCGCCGGCCGTGGATAGCAGAACTTGAGAAGAATGCGCAGCGAGAGCGCGTCTTCGAACATCTCTACGACAGGGAGAGGGGATGGAGCGTCAGGAAGACCACTCTGTGGCATAGACAGCATGTCCCGAAAGACAGGCGAAGCGAGCTGTAAGACCACGCGGTGAACGCCGAAATCAACGTTGTCGTTGGAGCGCAGGATCAGTTCGGCATCGGTGGCCACGAAGTCCGGATCCGCAACGGCTACGTCGGATTGGTGAGACGTCATGACCTGCAGAAGTAGCGGGGGAGGGAGGAGGCGGAGGGTTAATCAAGAGCTCGGGTTTTAGAGGTAACTCGCACAAAGGACAAAAGGCACAGAGCAGTCGAGCTCCCACGTGAAGATGACCGAGACTCCGAGGCCGATCCTCATGTTGAACGGGTAAGTAAGCAAATGTTGAAGGGCAAGTCCTCGCAAAATGAATGGCAATAGTCAGAGGAGGCAGACGGGTCAATTCAAATTTATTTATTGAGAGTTGATTGTGGCTTCGCCGGACACGCGACAGAATAGGATATTGAAAGTGGGCAGCGACAGTCTGTTTCAAGACGTCAAGCGAAGAGCGTAGACAACGTGGCCTATGATATATGATTGTTCTGGTGAGGAGTAAAACGGGAGCGAAGAGGCGATGTAGATGTGGGATGGAAGTAGGGATCAGGCGCTCAGTCGGTCCATCCGTTCGAAGTCCAAAACATATTCCACAATAGCACGCACGATGAACGCGTAAGGATCGTCCGAGATACATGAGACCTCGTCGCATACGCGTTGCTTGGTGCAGACCGGGGCTCTGGCCGATACCGGGCGTGCGACGCGCTAGGGCCGTCGGGCGATGTTGCATCGAGCAGAAGACGTGAGCAGCTGGCATTCTGCCAACATTGTCAGCCTCATCAAGACGATGGAGGAGCGATAGAACGTACATCCGCGTCGCAACATTCATAGAGCTTTTCACACCACCTCAAAGTGTCCTCTGCGTTTGTCCTCCGGCGCACCTGCGAACCATAAATGCTGAGACCGTGGACAGGGCATACGCGGATTTAGCGCAGCACACATCGAATAGAGGCAGCGGTAGGGCGTGGGTATGCGGGGTTGAGGGCAGTGCATTAAGTTGAGGACGCAGTACGCGATGGGTGCTATGGTTCAAAACACTCGCGGCTCGAGCCCAGGCGCGCCTGACGACCATGAGCGAGTTCTCACGTGGAGTATTTTATGTGCTATGTCTCATGCCTGTGACGGCCTAGACGCCGGATTCTACAACTCGTTTGATACATATGAAGCTTTGCTACTACATGGATGATGAAGCCAAGAAGGGTCTTCTGCGACCGTGCTCGCGTATCGCCGTCTGCATGGGCTCGACTGCACAGGACTGACGTGCCGAACCCTATGATAGCCCACCCTCCTCCTCGGGCTCCGGATGAAGGGATGATTTCACATGTGGAAGCGCGTTCGTGAGCTGTGGGCACAGGAGTAAGTACCTAATTGTGATACAGCAATGATGCCACTCACCCTTGCCAGAGGGAGGAAATGAAGAAGCGGTATACCAACAGATGTCACCGGCACTTTCGCGACTTGGCACAGGATGCGCGATATATTGACCACCTTCGGAGAGCCTGGTATAAATCCTGGCTTGCAACAGAAGCCACCGAACTCGAAGGATCGGTAATGAGCGTCAAGGTGAAGTTCGTCAGGCCTGAGAGGTTCATACGTGTGCACAACGGCCCAGAGCGACCCCGATGGCGTACGAGAGTGATCTTGAGTAGATACAGACAGTGGAGAGTGGCCGTGAAGGAATAGATACACAATGCGACCAGTGGCAATCTTGTCCCGTAGCAAGCGACGGCCGCCCCCAGTAGCATGAGAGGGATCGTCGTCCAGAGAATATATCATGTCGCTGTCGCACTCCACCTCGGATGCCGGGCAGTACCTCGCTCCTCGAAAGGACGCCGCCTTCACACGCAGTGCGGATGCAATGAGAAGCCCATCGGACGAGGCGGGCTCCTGTATGTCGCCCAATTGGGGGATCAAGACGTTCAAGATGCTCGACGACAACGTCACTTCCGAAGTGTTCCTCTTCAGGAAGATCGCTCCTTCTCGCGAGCGCATCGCCATGGACTCTAAAAGAAGACTCCCTAGTTTGGTACCACGGGTATCAGCGAAACTTTGGTGGCGGAACTCTTCCACGAGCTCCGAAACGTGAGAGCGGGTCGGAAGCGCATTGTCGTCAAGCAGAAAGCTCCGCAGATTCGCATGTCTGCTAGCACCTTGCAGATACGTAGCTTCGATTTCACCTAGAATCGCGTGAGACATATGGAGACATTGGCATTGAACCAGACAAAGAACCGCACCCGATTTCATATTGATGTTCAATCCATGTAACCGCCGAATATGTCGCTCGTAGAAAGAACCGTCATGGGCCGCAGAGGGTCCGTACCATCTCAAAACATCCCCATAGTGAAGGAGAAGGTGGTCGTATGGACGAATGGTCTCATCCTTGAACAGACGCTTCTTACCCTCGAAGTATTGCTGTGCCGCATCGTCGAAGTCGACCGTATCAGCTAACGAGATGACGCGCAAGGTGCCTATGCAGACAACGGCGACAGTAGTCATGTAGAACTCCAATAGATCCCTCTCGTGCTGTGATGCTGATGGGTGACCCCATAGAGGAATCAGAGTAATTGGTAGATGAACGGTGCCGATGACGAGCCATTGACCGCCAGTGATCCTTCCGTGACCCTTGGTACCCCAGTCTGATGGGGTTTTATCGGCGCTCGAGGGCATCTGCGTACGAGCTATGGTCTCTTTGATTCGTAGCATGATGGACGTTGTTAAGATCTCGCGGCGGGGCTACAGATTGATGAATTGTCAGCAGTGTCTCTTACTAGTCGAACGCAGACAATACCCCGGTGACCATGAGTCTTGTAACCTTGGGTGGCGCAGGTGAGTACATACTCTCGGTCTAGGTAGTAGAAATCAGTGTAAAGTCCGTCCGCAAAGGCGCACGACGCACATATGCTTTGAGTCGTTCTGCGAGTACGGTCCCATTACCGTGGCTGGCCAGACCTAAACTCTTACAGAAGGCTTGCAGCAGATCCGTAGAAAGAGCCTGGTCTGTGCGCGCAGCGGAAATGATGGTCGCGGGTGCATTCCCCTTCACAAGATGTTCGCCGACGGCCATGGCCTGGGGTGTTTGCATGAGCCGTCTTTCCTCCGGTGTTAGTCCAGCCAGCCAGGCTTGTGCGGGGGGATCGATCGTCTGGCCTGTACTGCTCGCCGCGTTCTGGAGAACATCTAATACAGAGTCAGAGACAGTGGCAAGGGCTGGTGAGTGCAACGCACTACTAGACTCGCCCGGGAGCGTCTGTCCTGCCCCTGGCTGTTCAAGGTCGTCAGGATGAGTACAGACGAAGATTGCAGATGCCCACCGTTGTAGATAAGAATGCCTCGACCGTCGGGCGCACGTTTTGAATCGCTATCGTATTCGCAATGAGCTAAGGAGCCGGCGATGAGCAAGAACTTGCAAAGCGAGAGAACTCAGAAAACGTCCTCACGTGTTCCTTTATCGTTAGAGCGATAGCTGACATGGCTGTCCGAGGATTGCCGGCTTCGGCAGCATTGGCTAAACCCAGTACCTTCGCGAATGCCACCAGAATTGCCTTGTTCCCGTTACAGTGGTTTGCGATGGTGCGGACTTTCCGACTGCGATTGAACGCTACGCGAACCTTTTCCGCATCAGGCGTGCACAGTGCCCGAAGCTCGCCTGAAGTTAGGGACCATAACCAAGCTGGACGTTCAGGTGTGGCCGTAGCCATGACGTGCGGCATGTCGAATTGCAGAGCCTGGGATTGACGATCTTAGTTGCCGAACAAGAGTCATGGGAAACGGATGCTACACACGGTTGCGTTGCCATGTGCATGATCGGTGCCTTCATCGTCTATATCCATGGCCGGGACGGTCGACAGCGAACCCTCCGTGTGACTCTGAGAATCCTCGCTTTCGCTAGTGTGGGTAGCCTGATGTATGGTCAATTCGTGTTCAACGCTACTGCTCCTTGAGAGCGACAAGCACGTACATGGACCGACGATGATATGGCCTGGCCGGGCTCGCTCTGGGATACACTACCGTGTTGTACTCCGGGTGTGCCGGATATTGACTCGCCGGGTAACGCTTCCAATCGTACATCGTCGGCAGTGACTGTTCGTCTCTAGAAACAAGTCAATACAGGTATACGCGCGAATTAGTTGGAGACTCACCCACGCCGCAAGATTCAGAACAAGTTGGCGCTTGAAGCCTGCATGACGTAGATCGTAATCCTGGCATAGGTTCCAAAGCACATCTTCAGAGCAAGCCTCTAGCTTATTGAGGGCTGTCTTAGAGAGCTCGCCATCAGGTGCCTCGCGGAGGATCGTCAGCGCGACATTCATGGCCGGAGGAGGTGGCCGCGGGTGCTTCGGATCTTTAATGACCTCGGATAGCTCTTGACCGTCTACGACGTAGTGAATTCGGAGGCAATGGCGAATGACTACCTGTAACAGGTACTCGTAGAACAGATGTAACGGTTCCGGGATGTTGTCCAGTGTCGCTCGATGGTATGGTAGGCGAAACATGGGGGTATACCGGATATCGTTCTCTTTCTCGAGAGTCTTGCGATCATCTTCGGACGCCGCATCCTTCCACAGAAGGGCTTGCGCTCTCTGGAGCTCGTCGTCACGCGGTTCGAATGTTGCGCGGTCGGAGCACTCGATGTGGTCGCGATTCAAAAGACAGAAGAGGCAGAAGTGACGCTTCAAGTTGACGGCTCCACGCCCAGCTGCTTGTCGGGAAGCTATGACGTCCGAGATCTGGGGGATAAGGGCGGATCTGATGAGGCGCCCTGCTGGTCGTTTGGCTGTGCGACTATACCATACACCCGGCGACCAGAACTCTAAGAACGCATTCACGAGTATATCCAACGTGGGGTTCAAGCGTGACCCATTCGGCTTCCCAGGTACAGCACCAAAATAGAACATATTCTCCTCCAGATAACGAATGTCCAGCGGAAGTCCCATGTTGATGAGCCAAAACCCGGTAGACGTTCGAGATACGCCGCTGAGCTTATTGCCGTACGGATTCCATCCGTCGTTCGACCACGAGAAGACAGTCCTGAGCTCGGACGGCGGGCCGGGTAGATAGGCAGTGCCGTCTGAGTCTCTGATAAGCCACACGCGTGTGCCATCCTTCTCCCTGCGCATAGGGTCCTCCGGGGGGCTGGTGAATGCCTCCTCGCAAGCGTTCTCGATGACCAGGCGACTTAGTTGCCGGCCAAGCCAGTGCTTGAATTGATGCAGGACAGTGACCACGATCTAGACATAGGCTGAGAGTCTGTAATCTGACTGAATGGCCTGTTACTCACAGGCGATAGCTTCTGCGATTCACCACGCAAAGACCAAAGACTAGCGCCACAAGCGTTGCTCAACGGAGTTTCCTGGGAGATGCACCCCGGTAATGTACTCGCAGAGTACGCGGTGAGAGGATATTGCTCAAAGCAAGATGGGCAAGTGATGTAGCGCTCGACTACGGGATCCCATGCATCGAACTGGCTGAGAACGTCCCGAACATCTCGTGGTATGCGACGGACGAGATGATGAGTAGTCGAAGATCTTGCCGCAACCGCGCGAAAGCCGGCAAGTAGGATTTTGGCATCCTTCTGAGATAGGCTGCCAAACGTCGATAGCAACATGGCCGTCATGAAACAGGCAGAAAGGAACGGTTCGTCTCGATGAGGAATAGGTATATTGTAATAGACGTCTAGGAAGATAGTCAGTGCCGATTATGCAGGTCTTGAAGTCCAGATGGTGACTAACCAGTGCACACGATGCCAGAATTATATGCATTCCTTTGCAGAGACCATGCCAGAGCCTTCTGCACCTCCAGAAAGTCCGAGACGACCTTCAACATCTGGAGCACCTCGTCTCGAGAAGAGCTTGGCTCCCAGTCAGCCGTGTACGCTTGAAGAATGCGGACGCGGTTCTCTCTAGAGAGCTGCAATCGATTGCGCGCACAGTTTGGCACAAGCATGTAAGGGCCATCTGATCGTACACCATCTCCGAGTGCGTGGTACAGCACGTAGGGTCCATCGGTAGCGGGATATCCAGAAAACTCCAGCCCGTCAAGATATGTGGGTGTCATGCTGCTACGGAGCTCCTCTAGCAATCCAGCTGCTTCTTCGGCCCGCATGGAAACAGGGGCGGTGATAGATGCAGAAGGTGGCGAGTTCTCTTCTGAATCGTATGCCAGATCATCGAGCGAAGACTCCCCATACAATGGCTGAGCAGCCGGCGGGGGATCTGACGTAGCTTTTGACTTGGTAGTTGAGAAGAGTTTCTGCGCGAGGAGACGTTGGCGTCCGAGCTCAACGTCACGCTGATGGTTTTTGTACGTGGACAGAGGGAGAAGAAACCCGTCCGGCCCACATGAAGAGCAGAAACACCTCTTCTCAGCAGTCTGAGAAGCGACAAAGTTGTCAGTCATAGATTACAACCGCATAGCAGTTAGAGGGCGTAATGATGGTCCGAAGGATGGAGCGTGAAGCTTGAAGCTTCGACACAAGGTGCGTCGCGATGACTTCTCACGCCTGCTACTGGCAAGCTCCCACATACGTACCCGGCACCGAGAGCATGCACGCCTTCTAAAGAGATACGTATACCCTGAAGCGCCCGGGGCTCCACCAGAAGCTGTCGTACATCGCGCGGAACGCATATGCTAGCCAGGAATACCTCCCACCATTGGCTCCGGTCAATTATCGGCTTAACCGGACGGCGATGCAACTCCGTGCTGAGCGCTGATACGCTGTCCATACAAGATCGCTACCCATCAACGGATATCAGGAAGAGTGCTCGCTTCTGCACCAGTGACAAGACCACACGGTCTTTCCTGACGTCCAGAGTCGATGGTCCCTGCTCTTCCTCTTATGTCTTCTTGCTCGCTCGCACTCGATACATGTTCTGGAGGCACGCTAGGCATGCACGTATGTCTCAGCTCATCCAGTAAGATAGATCAGCCGTAGTCGATTGTAGCTGCGGTATTACTTTAGTACCGTATGCCTAACCACCAAAGTAGTCCATCCACGTTGCCGCGCCAACCCTCTACCTGCCCATCCTCGTACCCATCGATATCTATACCACCGACACCGGCACTATACTGTTTGCCAGCACGCTGGTCGGAGATGTGACCGAAGACATCTGTATAGCCATCCGCCACGATCTCCTCAGGCTGGAACGACTGGCGCAGAACATTGCTCCGAGGTATGGATCGCCACAACGCCAAAGATCCCAAAGTTACGATGACAGCCAGAAGCAACACAGTAGATACAGAGATGCACGCCATCTGCTTGCAGTTCGTCAGCTAATGCCCGTCCGAGCTCTGGCTGAAGACGCACCGCGCCTTCTCTCATCTTGCGTCGAGTGATGCGAGATGAGGTAGCTTGTTCCTGCGAGCGGTAGATCGCGACGACATTTTGCCCATTGGCATCCGCAGTGCCAAAAGCCATATAGTGCCTGCGTCCGAGCATGACGTATCCCTATCAACCAGCTGGTTAGTTCACGAAGCTCGCTCTTATCGCTCTAAAGGTTGACACTTGCGATTTCCTGAACTAGCGCTGTTTGAAGACGTGAGGGAATGCGAAACACCCAGGAGTGCAGACATACCTTGTTGTGAGTCAACAGTAAAGAGCTGCATGATACTTCCCCGTGATGAGAGCACTCGGGCCACGCCGTGCGTGCTACCAACAAGCATGCCGCTCCCTTCGTGAATGAACAATATAGGTATGGCCCTGTTCAAGCCTTTCCTCTGCAAGGGCAACGTGTAGTCGTATCTTGACATGTCGCCCTCCAGCGCATAGACATCGATACCGCCCTCCAAATTGGTTGCGGCAAGTAGATCGTTCCTTGGAGACAGAGCAGATGACCCGCTAGGCGCTTGCATCAGTAAAAGAGCGATGCCCTCCTTTAGAGAATGAACTCACATCATATCGGATGCTGCAGGTATGCGGTGTATGGCGCTCCCAGTTCGGGGATCGAACAAGCTTCAGTCATAGTCATATGAGCAACAGATAAAGTTAAGGAAGAACTCGAACATACACGATACCATCCCGTTCATATGTGACCACGAGGAGATCGCGCTCGGAGGTAAAACTCAAAGACACAGGGCAGTGCTTCTGAGATGGGGTAGACGGTCCTGGAAAGCGAGCGACCTTCCTGTCGTACCACGCGACAGACCTATACCACGGACGCATTCGCAACTTGGCTATATAGACGCCAAGCGGGGTACCGAGCGCCACGCAGTTTCCCGAGATAGCTATAGCTCGAATCTCCCCGCCGGCCCAGTTTTCCTGCTCGTCGTCAGACTGTTGGTAGTATAAGCTCACGTCACGAAGCTTCTGAAAGCGAGTGACACATACTTCACGACCAAAAGAGTCGCAATTGATAAGGGTGACATCCCCAGTTCGATCACCGATGATGAGAATGTTCTTGTACCAGACCAGAACAGTTGGATGAGCAGGAATGTTGACAGCCCTTTTGATTGACAAGGAATCGTTCATCGCATAGACCTGGATGAGGCCGATAGCCGTTTGTCCATCATATCGAACGCTAGCGACGGCCAGGAAATCGCCGCGGTGACAGAAGGCGATGGCGGTCACGAGCGCGACCTGTCCCTCAGCACCCGATGAAACCGGCAGAATCTCAAATCTTGAATACGTTGGCCATCTATCAAGCTCAGCCGACGTAGACATGGTCGAAGTAGCAGGAGGGAAGGAGCAAAGACTGGGTGGTTATGGGCGGGTTCGCATCAATCGCCTATTCTCTTATAGTGTGTTGGCAACAACGTGGCCGAGGACCTGCATAATGCGGTGTATCGAACACATAATAGATGTGGTACAGGATGACAGTCTGAAATGGATCACGTATCAAATTACTGAGTGCTCCTCAAGACATCCGCCATCCTGATCCTCTGTCTGATACCAAGAGTTCGAACCGTTCCGTTTCCACGCGTAAACATGGCCGCCGGAGCCATCGCAGTGGGTCCATAGCCTCAGGCTGTGTAAAGTTGGATTCCGAAAGCAGGCGGCAGCCCATCTCATGGCACGATCGCCTTCAGACTCATACCCCACCGCATGCCCGAGACCACACCCAAGCACAACTTGCGCTTTCACCAAGCACGTGAGACTCAGGAAGTCTCGAGCCCATGCGTTGCTTACAAAGAATTGCGATGCCGCCGACGATACCTAGGGCAGACAGTCAGTAGGGCCACAATGAAAGGACATATGACGTACGCGGACGTCCTTGGAGAGTTCCGAGTACGCCAACAGCGTAAGCATCTCAACGTTGGGCGCCACTAGAGACACATGTCGCACGGCGTGGATGTCTCCTGATTGCACGGGGCATCGTAGAACGCGTAAATGCTCGTGGGTAGTGGGAACGGTAGCGAAGGCCCTGGCGTTGAAACGACCCTCAAGTTTCAATACGCTGTCTCCATCGACGAGCTGTAGAGAGCATGCTACGTCGTCGCAGGTGATAGACTTCAGTGACCTCAACGAGAGGCAGACGGACGCAAGTGGACAAGCTCCGCGGGACTGGCAAGCGCCAAGTCGAATCGTGTGCAGATGGGGTTGTAGAGAGAGGAACACTGCTACGGCGGCGTGGGATATATCACTCTCGAAGATCGTCAGGTTTGAGAATGGCACGCGCGGAAGGACTCCCTGAAGGCTACGAGCCGACGGTGGTAGGAATAAGCGAATCAAGCTGGCGCAACGGCTGCGGTCGATGAGCTGCCTTATGGGAAGGACGCGACGGACGGAGGTGAAGTCGAGGAGTAGCATATCGACATGTTGTACGACGTCGGGACGACGGCGCATAGACTCGGCGAGTTCCGTCGCGCGATCCAGCGAGCTGCAGACCACCATGCCCTGTGCATTCAACATCAGCGCTATTGTCATCTATTCGAGGCGCACATCAAGCACCAAGAACGCACAGATGATAGTTGCTAGTGAACACATGAGAAGAGGTTTGTTGGTAGTGGCATGCTAGGACAGACCTTCACGGAGCGCCGCATGTCGGCGCCATTTTCTCTGCTTCGCAAATGCATCATAAAAAGACAGTAAAATGTGAGTGTTGTTGCATATACGACGCTTTAAAAGGTTTGACAGCAGGGTGGCGGTACCGAGATCACAGTTTCCGCGTTGTCTGCGGACTAGGGCATTGTCGAGGCGGGCGCTGACAGAAGATCGCGTCTACCGTAGAGTGCTCTCGGGGAGCTGAGCCGATGCCGTGTTGTACAAGTTATTGAGCCCGCATCGACTGAAGTTCTGGAGGAACACGAGGCATGCCGCTTGTCCGGATGAACGGGACGAGAGCATTCAGCGTTCCGGGGCGACTCCAAGTATGAACGGGCTTTGTGCCACGAAGTTGGTCGTAGAGGGGCTGCAGAGGGCGGGCTGAGGGCTCGATAGTGAGCCGAGAACGAGTAACGCGTGCCCTATGAGAAGATCTCTGTACTGACGGTTCCATACTGCCGCAGTGCATCGTGGCCGCGAAGTGACGCCAAAATGGAATTCGACTTGGTCATCCATGCACTGAGTCGAGCAGTCAGCCTCATCCGCCGTAACGGGTGCTGAGGTTTGATGAACAGCGACCCGTGGTGAGTGTTACCAGACAACATGAGGAGCAAGAGGGTCAGAGCCAACGGCGAATGTTCCCATATCCACGTGCCCGAGATAGTAGCACGACGCGCGCCGGTTGCTTTGTGACGGTCAACTCTTGCTTGTCCTGTCACCCTGTCATATTTACCTGGGGATGCATCATGCATCAAGCTATAGGCGGCCCTTGAGGTCTAGAAAGACTTGGGTAACCGTTTCTTAAGCCGATCTCCAGAATCGACGTCTTCAAAGTGACTCTAGATCTGCAGTCCCACGTCGCCCAACCTATACAGGCACGAAGGAGCGATCTCTCCACGCTCGTCAAGCACATGAAGGACCATCGATAATCACCACTTGAAGCCTATGCCAACCTACTCAATCCCTGCCCGAAGCGGCTGCGCCATCCGCCTTTACCCCGCCTTGTCGGGAACGTGTCCTTTCACCGTAATCTCACAACAACAGCTCTTAGCTGCAGGCAGCGTAAGCGGCCGTGATTCTTTGAAGCATTTGGTAACGCTCCCGTTCCTCGTCGGCGATGACGACGACTTATCAGATCATTTCTATCAGGCCAAGATTGAGAGCTCTCAACTTACAACGCCCTTCGCCTCCCCAGTCATCCCCTCGCTATGCCGCTTGACCGCGTACCACACTTTGTACACCACCTCCGTGGAACAGGTCACGCTGCCCCTAACATTCCTGTCAGTACTTCGGCTTCTGAAGACGACATCTCTGATGACCCGCGCAGTATTTCAAAGCGATCTCGCACAATCCTAGTCGCACGCCTCACAGCTGGAGAAAGAGAAGCCTGAACGGCGGAACTATAGGTGCGGGCGCGCACTCCGCGGAGCAAGGTCCTGTAGAGGATAATGATTACTCGTGTGTACCATTGCCGATCCCCCGTGCGTGAATGTTCGCTGATGTGGTGCCTCATTTACAGCGCATTCGCTCAAGCGTCAGGCGTTACATCGTGCGGTCATGTCTACCTTCCTCCCTGTTGGAGTACTGATTACATGTCTTCTACAGTACGAGACCTGGATCGACTGACTGGTTGATCGAGCTTGTAGTCGCCGCGCTCAGACCCGAGAGTGACTTGGTTACTCGACAATACGCCTTGGCTGCGCTCCGCACTCTCACGTTTGGCGATAGAAAGTGGCGAGAAATCAATTCTGCGCTCTTGGAGCACTGCGAGAAAGGCATTGCGGACGTCGAGGCTAATCTGAGCACACGTCAAACCGAAGTCGAGATCACGGGGGATGATGATGCCGCTACGTAGGTCTTCTTTCCCTCCCTCGCTTGATGTGTCCTCTCATGGGTCTTCGCTAGAGCGCCCGCAATAGCCACCAGCTGGATCGGGCGGAAACTCGCCATCCAACAGCGTCCCTTCGCCAACGGGACTTCGAATACGTACTTCATCCTCGCTCCCGAGGACTACGAGCACGGCGCACCCCCGGCGCTAGAGGATGCTCCCCTTCACTGTCTATTCTGCATCCCCAAACGCGAGTCTCAAGACGTCGACGACCCGTATCGCATGTGGATCCTCAACTCCGCTCAATGCTGGGAACCGATCTTCAACAAGGCGCCCCATCCCTCGTTACATCCATACGTGCTCAAGATCAGAGCGTTCGACAAGACGCCAAGCTGGGTTCTGCCCGAATCAGTACACCGCGAGGAGCGACGCACTCAGCGGAAGGGTACCAGCGCGACCGTCGCCGATCCGGCCGTCATTCATACGCCGGAGACGCGTTCTGCGTCGGCTAGGAGGGTTGAGACTTCGCCAGTCAACTCGCGCAAGAAGGCAGTCCTTCGCTTCGCTTCATCTGAATCCGATGAGTCCAAAGGACGACCTACAAACAATGCTACGGGTGGCAGCAAGAACGCCACGGCGGGTCCCTCCAAGAACGCCGCAGCGGGTCCTTCCAAGAACGCAGTGGCGAGCTCTTCTAAGACCTTATTGTAGAATCTGCTAGCAAGGACGCTGTCTGCACCATAGATGTACAACATGATTGTATATGAATGTGCCCTACTTACAATGGTGAACTAACAGTTATTCATGCCTTACGCGGCGCCGACGCAGTGCTTGTCTGGTGCGAGCTTACATCATATGCATACTATTACCCAGAGAGGCTCTGAAGAAGAACTTGGGCCAACGCCCACTTGCGACTCGGCCACGTATTGCCCTCCATGAGCAACACCAAGTGCTTCGCGAAGGGCAGACCCAAGCCCGTTCCGCCGAATTCGCGCGTCATGCTCCCATCGGCCTGCGCGAACGTATCGAAGATAAGACTGAGCTTGTCCTGCTTCATCCTGATACCCTTATCTGTAACGCAGAACTCGAGCGTCACGTTCTCGTCGTCGCCCGCGAGGAACCGGCGCGAAAGCGTGACGTGCCCGCGCTGGTGCTTCGACTTGATCGCATTGCCGACCAGATTCGTGATAACCTGGCGCAATTGGAGCGCGTCGCCCACGAGCGAGGCCGGCATCTCCGGGTCGACGTCGTACGTGAGATCAGTATTGTGCTGCGATGCGCACACGACGAGTGTCTTGAGGATAAAGAACACTATCTGGCGGAACGAGAAGGACACCTGCTCCATCGTCATACGACCGGCCACAACTGCGAACAGCCCATCAGCAACCATCCCTCAAACGAAAACCTGACAAAGAACGACGTACTCTTCGAGATATCCAAGATATCATCAATAATCAACAACAGCGACCTCCAAGCGAATACACGAGCAAAAGGCTCTCCCGCTGACTCCTCTTCAAGACTCCTCTTCAACACTGAATCGAGCGTCACCTCGATGATACCGTTCGCCGACGCCCAAATCTCGTGCGACATGTTCGCCAAGAACTCCGACTTGGACCTGTTCGCGAGCCGGCCGTCTCGCGCGCGGCGGTGTGCCGCTGAATCGCCTCCCGCAGGTTGAACACCATCTGGTTGATGTGCGTTTTGAGCGAGTCCATCTCGCCGGCGGCTTGCACAGTGATGAAGCGCGTGAAGTCGCCGTCCATGGCGGCTTGAAAGATCTGGGCGAAGCCACACACTTGGATCATCAAGTTGTGTGACTGTGTGTTCGGGAACATCCTGCGCGAAGCATCAGTGGCAGACTCTACATATGTTTATGAGACGGGAATGATTGATGAGCAACTGGAGAGGGCCTCACCAGCCACTCGGTGCACCGCCGAATTGGTGAATATGGGCTGCCCGCTGTGGATTCATACCGGGCGGGACGGGCGGCCGCATCATCCCTCCTGGCTGTGGTGGCTTTCCGCACATAGGCGGGGGCGGCATCATAGCAGGCGGTGGCATCATACCGAGTGGCGGAGGGAACGGCGCAAACTGGTTGGCGGGCACATTCCGCGGCTTCGCGCCCCCGGCCGCGCCGTACGGATTCGGCGTACGGTTGACCTGCCTAACTGACATGGGACCAGGCGTGGCGCCACCAACTGCAGGTGTACGCGCGGGCGTACGGCCGCCGTAAGGCGTCTCCGCGCTTGCTCCTGCCGTGTTGGACTCGGCATGGATCTGCCGGAGCTTGAACGCGTCGCAGAGCTCGTAAACACCAGTCGCGGCGTTATCAAAGAGGAAGTACGCTTCTAGTGCGACGCGCACGGGCTGTTGGTCGAGAATAATACGTCAGCTTCCAGTGCCACACGCGATCGTAGCTACGTACCCAGGTCTGGACGGTCGAATTTTTGTTCGTTAAGAAGCAGAGGTTGAAGTGGCCGGGTCGCTTCCGGTTCAGGGTGAACCCGTACATGCTCTTGTTGGGGTGAGCGGCGACGAAATTCTTGAGGAACAAGTCTAGTGCACGGCGTTAGCTTATTCGAAGCGCAGGGAAAAAGGGCGAGGGCAGTGCTTACGAAGTTCGTCCTCGGGACCAGGCTTGAACTTCTCGTACGCCATAAGCTCTTCGACGCGGCGCGTGAGGGCGGAAACGTGGTTGACGATCAACTCGTCCAGGTCGGAGAACTCGTACTTTCCATCGACGATCAGCGGGCCACCTGTACTCTGGCCAGAGGGGTCGGCATTGGGCTCGTAGACATCTATAGAACATGTCAGAGACCATTAATGTTCGGGGGTAGAATGAACATACCGATGTGCTGGTAGAGCTTGTCGTCGACCTTCCAAGTAACAGCCAAATGGTTGAAGCCCTTCGACGACGGACGAATGACCACATCCCCGCGCTGCTGCTTAGCAAGGTACTGCTCCGCCTGCGCCGAATTGAAGTTATGGAAATGCGGGTGCTTGACCAGCCTCCT